TATGACAATCCAATTCTTGAGGAAGCTTATCTGGCTATTAAACAACCCGTTACGACTTACAGAGGCTGAGTGGTTACTCGGCAAATAAAAATGCACGATAAGGGAAGAACGCAGAAGAAACACGGAATGCTATGCGAAATGAAATTGTTGATGATTTCTTTTAAACGCCGACTGAAATAACTTTGCTTTAATATATAATAAATATCATTTTATAAATATTACATGTATTGCCTTAAAACTCTATATTGTTACTACTAATGGATGCTTGCAATGCGATATAATTTTCATTACATAGACACAGTTATATATCAAGACCGCGATGAATTAAATCCTCATGCTTTCAGTCCAGTTATATTGTTCTTGTATTAGACAGGTAGATAATGGGATCACCGTTCTCACATCATCCATAAAATAATACGGAGTAGTACTACTTGAGTACTACGGAGGTTTATTTGTATAAAATCATTTGCATAGATACTTACGTCTTATTTTTACTACCTAGCAGCTTGTTGTGTAAAGCTTTTACACTAAGAATACTTAATTGTAACAGATTAAAAATGATGATACATTTGAGAGATTGAGCCGTACGACTACCAATTGCAGCTGTGAAAGTAGAAGAAGTCTATAAATAATACAGAAGTATGGCATCTTAGTACTAGTAGATTATGAAGCCATATGGAAGCGGATGATAGACGATTATTTTGAAGTTGAAATATGTAAAGTTTTTGTCACGTTTGTAAGCGGCCAGTCATTATAAAGAGAGGAGAGACTTTTACTATGCAATTTACCTACTTAATAGGAAAAGAGGTGTTGATGAAATTATTATTGTATATATTATACATATGACACCATATATGAATATATAATAGTATCCTGTACACATGTAATTCTTTTCTTTCCACTTCATTTCAAGTTTTAGTGTATTGTTGTCACCTTGTATCGATTTAAGATATAGGTACTTTATGGTTCTATAAGGGCATTTCATAATCTTGGCAATTTCACTTTTATTTTTGCCTTTTTCATGCAACAACTCTCTCTCTGTCGTCTATTATGATGTATATAATATGTATTAGTAAGTTTATTTATTTATGCTTATAAAATGTATGTAAGTGTTAATCAATATAGTGTCTAGTGCGCACCGTACCTTCTCTCTCTATATAATCTGTCAACACCACGATGTCTGTAAGTGATTGCTAATAGCAATAAGATCGCCTTTTGTAAATCATTTTTTTATTGTACTGTACTTATTGTTCTTTGTATATGTGTGTGCAATAAAAAGTTATTATTATAATTATTAACTACTAGATTTTTAATACTAATTCACAGCGCTTATGCATTTTTCTAGGTTTTTATAAACTGCCTCACGTAAAACAACAACCTACCATAATTTGTCGACAGTTCTTCACACATGATGAATCGTAGTAAACTATAAAATTGCCTATAAATACTCTTTTTTACTTTGAAGCATATGTATATATACACATGAATATATATAAACAAACGCACTTGTTACTAAGAAATGGTTCTGTTCATTGTCGCGAAACCTTGCGTGTGGCCTACAAAGCAGGTCACACTGAATTACACAGTAATTTTATATACCCACTACAATTACCGTTCACATCTCGCTCAAGGATCTTATAAAGTTGAACAATAAAAAAGGATTGGTTGCGATTATTTATATCACTTTCATAAATGATATAACCGAATATCCCGTCTGTGTCAATCTTTGTCTCTACATACAGGTTCTGATGACTATTAAAACGAGTAAAAGATGGAAATTGAGAAAGATGGGAAAGAAACAAAATGTAACATCTAATAATTATGTAAATATATAATATATATTAACTATAAAAAGTTAGCTACTTGTACAACGTTGTTGTATCTTTGACTCTTCACAGATATAGCGTGAAGTGTCAAAAGTGCGAAGTACGTTAAAATTCCTGAAATTTTCCAAATTCCTGAGGAATTTTCTTCTTCATTTTATGTTCCGTGAAAAATGTCTACACAGGCTTTTTACTAGAAAACAATAAAAAAAATGGACGTAATCGATTTCTGAAGTTATGGCATGTTTAAAGAGAACAGGAATTTATTTTTTATAAAAGCCCCAACTCAGGTCTACACCTAAGAAGTTATGAGATCAAATGATCAAATATTAAAAAAAATCTCTCGATTATAATTCAATTAATCAAATGATTAAATACGAAAAACTTTATCTTGATTATAATATCAGAAAAAAATAATTAATTGGAGATACGGCGGAAAAATTAATTAAAATAATATTACTCAGAATGTTAACAATACCTAACCAATAATTAAAAAATATACTAACAATTAAAATAATTTAATGTAATAAATTTAATTACATTAAGATATAATAGTATTCAAGAGATTACGTGTATTGTAAATTACACGCAATTGTAAATTCTGTTGGCCACTTATTAATGAATGGTATTTATTGTAAAAACCCTTCCATGTTCGTGTCGGATACCCATTAAAGGGGTTCCATATCTCTATAAGTTAATCAATGTAAAATGTACTAAACAATCTTGCGTTTCATTTACTGAGAGCCGCCATTGTTTGACTGAAATTTAAAATTGGCCAAAGGCGTCTTAAACTTGCTACTTGTGTACGTATGGTACGTAGATTAGAGAGTGTAGAGTTATTGAGAAACTCCTTTAATATTAGCAGATTTGTTTGCTTTTCTGTTCCGTAATTAAAAATATAATTCTATATATATATATCAACTTGCTGTTAACATTCAATATTTATACAAATGAATTGTCTCTCAACATATTCATACAATAGATTTTGACTTATTGTTACCTCTTTTACTTTATGAAGAACGATAGTTGTTGCTTGCGACTTTCTCTGCTTTTTTTGTGATAAAGGATATCCTATGTCTGTCCTCTTGATACTATCAATCTTTCTATCTGTCATTAAGATACGTTCAGACATTTAGTCATGAAAAGGTAAGAATAACAGACAGACAATAATTCGTTTTTATAATACCAGTTTAGATTTAATTTAAAATATAAAAATATATTATATAAATATTTTTTAACAAATATTTAATAATTAGTATACAGACAGACATAGACAGTATACAGAAACCCATTTCATTATATTGCTAATAAACAAATCATGCAATTACTCTTAAAACTTCTTACCATCCGAGGTCCCAAGCTGAATGGAAAGCAGGATGTGCAGCCATGGCTCCTAAAGGCACTCCAAACCCGAACTCTATCTTTACAGCATCATCCGATCTCCTTGGCCAGGATCCGTGAACGTTTTCCCTAGGTTCACTTCCGTTTCCAGTCTTTGTGTCGTTCGTCATATTAAATATTAAAATTCTAAAGTTTAATATTATTTATTACACTTCGCTTCACTATAAATTATAAAAAAAAAAATAATGAAATTATTTAATATAAATTTACATTTATTAAAACTTTTTTTTGTTACTAAACATGTAAAGTTATAAACAAGGACATGTGTAGGACGTGTGTGAGGTGAAGTAACAAAACGTGGCGTTGAAACGAGTCTACGTAGCTACGCCGCGCTACGACCGTCCAAGGCGACTGCCCGGCCACTACCATACAATATTACAGTCCGCGGCCGCTACCACGGTCCTGTCTCACCGTCCACCATTCAGTTGTGACGGCCGATGACCGTCTCAATGCCGGCACCCCTTCATTAGCATTTTATAATGTCCTAAATCTAGTTGTAAACGAATAGTTTTGATGTTATAATGTAGAGCGAGGCATACTGATGTTCTATTACTGGCTATAATGAATTTTAAGTAATATTATAAGTACAAAAGTGAGTTTATATATTATATATTTCAGACCTTAACGGCTTATATTAATTATAATTTGTTTTTATGATTTACAGATGTTAAACAAGATTTGTTTTCAAATATAGGTTATTTAAAAATATATATATTAGTAATGTAATGAATAATTGGTATAAAATGTAAACTTTTAATATATATGTCATTTATTTTTATGACATAATATAAAATAATATTTTATACTTACTAATATAATTTATTAGTATTGTGAATATAATTCATGTAATTTTATGAATAAATAGAGTAGTTTGTGTCCCAGAACATTAAATTAATAACTTAATAAAGGGATTAATATTGTATTAGATAAATATTTCATACAATAAGAGTATACAATAAATATTAACACTCTTTTTTAGAAATGTTCCTTTGATTGACATCTCATCTTTTAATTATTTTCATATTATAATTAATTATCAGTCTTGAAAACTCAACCCGGATAAAACTTCTCGAGTAGGTTGAATGACCCATGAAACATATTTACTATATTAATTTTAATATAATTATAGACATTTATATGAATGTGGACATTTGACCGTCTCGATGATAATTGGACTAAATAATTGTTTAATTACGCTTTAGAGATACCACCCAAATTTATAGAGTACAGACGCATGAATTAATTATATGACATAGTTATACCAAGTAGGTTAGGTTGGTATGACAGTTAAGTTTCTTAGTTTTAAATATAGTTACCTAATTTTCCACGAAATTGTGTTACTTTAGAAACATTAATAACAACTAGATTTTTATGACATTTCAATTTTCTTTAGACATATAAAATATAAATAAATTTTTAACCTCATTCCTCCGGTGGTTTTTATATAAAACTTTAACACACAAACAGTCACTTTTCACCTCGTTACGATTTTACGATGTTACTCTAAATAAAAAATTAAAGAACATAAAAAATATAAAAAAGAACCAAGTACTAGAAAGAAGGATTTACTTGTTGATCTTTAGACAATAAACGTTAACAAATAAATACTTCTTTCTTTCTTTTCTATAACTTCATGTTTAAAATTCATTCTTGAATAATTTGTTTAAGAACTCATTAGAATCTGGGGCACTAATTCCTCGATGATTTATTATTCATAAACCTTATACAGTCATGGTGTTACTCATAAATCGATTGTGTGTCATCAGTCTTAGGTACTTATCCTAAACATATAACTGCTGACAGCAAAACAACAAAAAATTCTAAGCAATATAATGTAACATGCAATATTATTTCTATTCGTCATAAAAGGCATTAATGAATATTTTCATTATTTTATTTTATTATTTCATTTAAATTGTCATTCATTTTATATTATAATGAAAATATAATAAATTCTAAAACTTTGAAGAACGCTGAAAATAAATATGTAAATGAAGAAATAAATGTAAAATATATTTTTTTATATAATAGATTTTTAATAGAAATACAAACAGTTACAAATAACTAATATTATTAACAAATACATAAAACTACCAAAATGTATTTAAAAATTATAACAAATATACTGTAAAAATTACAACACTTAAAGTGTATTACATTAGCTCCTGATGTTACACTTTCCAAAATATTGTGTTCATAAGGTTTCAAATATGGCATATAACGTAACACCATGTTCAACATTGGTGCTTTCTCTACTGCTGATTTATTACTATCAATTTCTTGAAGTGGTGGAGCGAGTCTTTTTTTAACTGGATCAGGATACGCGTCACGAATAATTTGATCATTGTTTGCATCTACTTGGCCTGGTGACTCTCTTAGCTCACGCCTAACCTATAAATTGTCAGGTTAATTTAACCACAGATAACATAATACTAAATATCTTATTAATTATGATCTAATTTGTTTCATTACTTCTGTAGATCTAGATACATCAATACGCTAACTGTATCAGATTTTAAAAAAATAATATAAATTCATTAAGTAGTGATTCTTTATGGTAACAGTTATTGACTTGGATTTTATACTCTTTTTACACAGAATCCACACCATATGCTCCAAAAATAAAAATAGGTAGTGTTAAAGGTATATGTAGTGTAATAGGTAGTGGTAAAGTTTAAAAATAAGGGAAAATCTACCATTTAATACTCTAATAACCAGTTCTGTAAAGCATATTCTTTACATTTAAAATCAATGTTCTTAGTAGATTCATTTAATATTTTAAATGTTTGATAAAAGAAAAACATACAATTACCTTACTAGATGTAACCGTAGACGTTTCCAATGATTGCTCCATACGGTCTAACGCCTCTTGTAGTTCACTCACGGTTTCAGCTGTGGATATAATTTTTAATTTATATCATTAATGTACCAAATCTTGTTTTATTTGTCATCTTGTCACGCACTATTAATGAACTCAGGTTCAATATAAAATATTAATATTTCTTAATATGAGAACACTCCCTAAATTCTAAAACTAAGAAACAATTATACGATCACCATTCGTAATGTCAATTGCACTAATTACTTACAATCCGAAACATAGTCTTCATCTTTTTTATGCACTAGCAAAGATACGTTAGTACTATTCATTAGTGATAACTCTGGTATTTGTAAAGATTTATTCGTATCTACAGATTCATAATACATTTTACTTATATCTGCATTATCTTTAACACTGTTGATTGATGTATATGACGAATCATTTATCTCTCTATTAGCAGTGGCAACTATAATGTTTTCTACTGTTTCTAATTCATTTTTCATATTATCTGAAATTGATATAATACATTTTTTTAATTTGTGGTCCGATATTATTTTCTATTCATTAAATGGCTTATGATATTACTATTTAATGTTATTATCTTAGTGGTAGCTTCATCTCCAATCGATTGGTTGTCTTGATTGTCTCCATATTCATAATCTCCGTATAAGTTACTTTCAACCAAAGACACACTTTTATCCGGACCGTCAAGATGATCTGTAACATATGATGAAATTTATTCTTGCGCAGGTAAATTATTTTTATTTTTACATGGTAATTTGACTTACTTTCTGTAATTATAGAATCACCAATTTCATTTCATTCTTCAATATTGTATGATTTGGGTCGTCCTATTAAATTAACCATCTTGGCCTTAAAAATATTAGTTACAGGTTCTATAAATGTTGACATATTCATAGTTGCATTTGATTTCTCATGTAAGATATTATTCGGAATGATATTGTTTAAATTTGTCGTCTCATTTCGTATTATTTTCTCCATTATATCTCTCTTATGCATTGAATTGTAATATGACAACGTGGTTAAGGAATTCTCCATTGTTGCTATAGCTATTTTAGTTAAGTACAACTCGTCTATGCTACCCAAGTAGTTTAATACTTCATTAGTTTCTACTTCAAGTAATGTATTCAAAAGCGCGTGTTCTTCCAGTGACATTGTGTTATCAATATCGTTAGATTCATCTAAATTGTACACTAAAACAAATTATATGACCAAATCAGTACAAGTAATTTCATTTTCAATGAAAATGAACAATATACATAAGTCTTAGTTTAAACGACATAAGATACAACTGTGACTCTTATGTTATACATGTATATGTATAACATAAGAGTCACAGTATTTAATACATACAGTACACTCGTATTAGTATTTTTTTACCATAACTCTGTTTATATTTTCTTATTGAATTTCCTATTTAGCATCCGTAATGGTCCATGGTCTTGATTTGTAAGTTGCTATCTTATCAATAGATTGTAGATATCATGGAATAACTTTTATATATAAACACGTATTCTATAATTGACTATATATTTTATTTTAATAAATTATAGATAATTAAATTGATGAATCTTTAAATCTTCAGATGTGTATAATTCCTTTACGCTTCCATAACTAATCAAACTTGAATATTTGTTATCTTATTTTTTCACGTTCTAGACTAGTATATAGATGTGTTATCATAATTCTTAGCATTAATGCCGTTTCTGTTTTGCCGTCGCCTATGAACAGCACTACAGACATCACGTTATCATGTGCCACTCGTGACACCACGTGTGTTGCCATTTTAGAGGACTATAGAATATATCATATATGTATTTTATTAAGTTTAGGGCTCATCTGAGTCACGCCTGAAACACAAGGGGTGTCACGTGCGCGCTGCCTTCCCTTAAGAAACCTTAATATACCCTTCTTGAAAAACCTTATGCTGTAGTTTCTCCAGAAAACTCTCGTAATGTATCATATCTGCTATCCTGTAATTTTTAAATAAGGACTCAAAAGAAGATACTAACGATAATTGCAAAGTCCAGGCATCACAATATCAGGCAAAGATCTTGGAGGGCAAGCAGTGGCGGGGACCGTCGGTATCCACAAGGCTTGTCCAGCTGTTGGACCACGGGGCGCGAAGTTGCATACCAGTCTTTCCACACTTCGAAGTCGACCATTCCGTGGAACCTGATTATACAATTCAATTAGAATTGTAGTAAGTATATATGTTATAAAACAATCATCATCATTGCCTTGTCTTTATCGTATTACTTGGGATCGGCGCAGTATGTCATTCTCTTCCACTCTGTTCTCTCTCTTCTACACATCTCTATCAGCCGTCATATCTGAGCGTACTCTCCTTTTATTCATATCATCTTTCACACAATCCGTGTTTTAACATCATATTAAAAATTTCTTTAAAACTAAAAATTGAAATAAAATAGTCTTGGACATTTTAATCACATTATCGATGAATAATAACTGTTTGCGTCATTCCCAGTTTTATGACTTCAAATAATTGTTTATTTCACTTCTTCTTTGTTTATTCGACTTCAGATATTTTGTTAGTCCTTACGATTGTAAAAATGAAAAAGACAAAAAGATAGTTCCCAATTTAACAGGAATATTTATATTTTGTTTAGTGATATAAGTTTTGAACGGATTTCAATGTTTTTTTTTGTATCGCTAGGATTTTTACCGTCTTTGCTACATTAAATATGTTGGAAAGCATCTTTTGTATACATACTTGTTAATTAAAAGATACTTATATACTATTTTTAGGTATAATTGTCTCATAAGAAAGTATTTTACTTATATATGAGTTAAAATTCAAAGACTAACCATAAACCTACTTCTTCCACATCCCACCATATACGTATGTGCCCACGTAATTTGAGCAAAATCACCGTAGTAACTAGAGTTGGTGGTAGGGCTGTAACAATTAAACACCATTTAAAAAACCAATTGCTTTTGAATCGTTTAAATTACTTATCGGATAGCATATCAATGAAAGAATGTCCTTTCGAATTTGATTTAGGTACATACCAGTAACTATGTACCTAGTTCCAATAAGTTTTCTGTCTTCATTAGTTCTGTCGTCGTCCAGATATTAAATAATTACATTAGAGTTTCAATAATAACGACTGTATACGAAAGACACTTAATATTTTTTATCCTGTTACTAATTTATTATTCATTATTATTTTTTCCAACTATCTACTCTACTCTTATTGAAGAAATAATTTACGACAAAAATCAAAATGTACATCAACCTAGTTCTAAATATCAAAGTTTGAGAACTGAAACTGGCAAGAACTTTTTTCCTATATAATTGCATTCAGTTTGTTTCGAATATATGAGGTGCTACAAATTATTGTATATCCTGCTACAGATCATATTGTTAAATGTACCTATATATAACATATGTAATTATTTAATTTCGTGGCACTAATGTCTTTATTTTTGTTACAAAAAAATACTTACGCGACATATGAGGTGGCGTTGCCCTTGTACAGTATACTCTGCATGTACCAAATGTCGATCATGGATTCCACGCGAAGTCCTGGCGCTTCGCCCACCACAGATGCCACGCACTGGCCCACCGACGTAGAATCTGAATAATATATTACTTGACTGCCCGCTTTCGTGACCATGTTTTTTTTTATTTTAACACGATCGGCCTAATTGGTTGATTAACACAACACGATTGGTTGACTAACACGATTGGCCATACTGACAAACTTCCGGTGGTCGCGGGTTCAATTCCTCGCACAGTGCAAACTTTTATACTCATGAGTATGTTTGTTTGAATCGGTTTAAAAACACCCAGAGAGATTCAAGAGAAAAGAAATATCAATGTATTTAGATCAGTTGTTTAGTACCCATAACACAAGCTCTGCTTAGCTTAGGACTATGTGAGAGTTTACGACGACTGTGAAAGTTGACCTGAAATATTTTAAAACGTATAATGATTTCTGTTTATTTTTAATAATAGTGTAATTCATCTTGCTCCAGTCATATACTTACATAGATCTCTGCATGCATCCCGTTCGTCCGGTGCACTTGGCGGTCGACACTGGTCAGCCCACCGCTGGGCTTCGCGAGACAACTCCTCCACCCAACGCTAAAAGAAATGCCGCTCCAAGATTTCATTATTAATCTTTCCTAATGGTCTTAATTAGGACACATTCTTTCACACGCGATCAGGAGCGCGTGCGATTTAGGGCGGGAAAACCAACACGCGCAGACGTCAGAAATTACATTCTACTTTTTTTTGTAGCTTTATTTTTTGGCGCGTATAATTCGTGTCATCTCACTTTTATTTATTTCAGATTTTACGTTTAAGATTTATAAAATATCAATAAATTATGTTTATGTTCCATAGTCATCTATAGGTACAATGCTAATAATATTAATTGCGATTTTGTCCTCACGAATATTTTTTTGTTATCAACAGAGATCTTTTTTAGAACAAATTACACTGTGCCATCTAGTCTTTGGGACTAGACTAGACTAAGCAGAGCTTGTGTTGTGGGTACCTACTGGACAACTGATATAAATATTAACTACATTTTTTTTGTAAATACATACATAATATACATAGAAAACATGCAGAACAAAAAACAGTCATATTAACGAATACAAATACAAATACAAAAAAAATCTGTTTTGTGCGAGAAATAGAACCCGCAACGTTCAGAAGTAAGGCGGTGTGCTAAACTGCTAAACCAACTAGGCCGTCATAGAACAAAATGTGTATACGACATTTACATAAATACCTATTAGAGTTATTACTCACACTTGAAACAGTATCCACATATTGGATTGGGGGATTGTTAGTAATGTGGTCTAATAACTCCAATGCAAGCAATGTACCATGTCAGTGTACCTCACCGTGGTTCGCCCTGGAAACCATCGTGATAAATTCATGATGAATGCACCACGATGGGCCCACTCACCTAACCTCCTGCTCATCTTATCCTCTCCATCTCATGCTCTCCACTGGTGCCCCGCTAGCGTAAACCGTTAGCATCGCTGCACCCTTTCATTATCATACATAAGAATATCCACATATTAAGTAATTTGAGCCTAATTAACTGGGTATTATCATTGAATATCACCAAAACATTGTACATATTAGGTACCAATTTAAGCATATTTCCAGCGGGCGGCAACCGCCGCAGCTGGCCCCAAGCAACCTCATTCCGTCTTCGGTTAAGTCGCGCCATGATCCGTAGCTTCTCCTCAGCCAATAAATGTGCATCCATGTAACCTGTGCATCTTGGACTGGGACCCAACTGTACAATGCACACACACACAGAAGTTTATAATTTAATAGGTGATAATTAAATGGTGCTGTGCTGTAATACTAAGACATTATTATTTATATACTGTTAGAGTACTAGGTAATGAGATATCATCAGTAGATTTTTTAATGGATAAAAATGGAATGGTGCACCCGCCTGCGCTAATGGTTTACGCTGGCGGGATGCTAGTGAAGGATGATAAGATGAACATGAGGTCAATAATTAATTATCGATACCTAAAGTTGCGTTTACGTTACAATGCTATAGTTGACAGCATCAAATGGCGCCAATTGAATCGCATTGACAGATGACCTCATTTTCACACGTTACATACGAAAATTGTTGCAATCAAAGTTAGATAATTAGCCCACTGGTCAGCCTATCGTGACAAAAATTACCAGGAATTTATAATGATGGTTTCCGATGGCTAGGCAGAACGGGTGCATCATTCCATTATCATCCATTAACAAAAAACCATGTCAACCTTCCATGCGATCCATCGTGGTAAATTCTATTGATAATTGAATAGATTGAATAGAAGTACCTACACTTACAGGATACTGACAAAATGTATGTGAATTTGTATGGCCGCACATTTTAGATCCACAGTAATTGACTGCCCGACAGATGCACAGGTTTACAAATACAAACAACAGGATAAACGCTAATGTGCATCGCATTTTATAATCAACTATTAATTTTGTATAACATTTTTAGTTCTCTGTCGGTTTCTTTGAAATTTTGATTATCACTGACAATTTGAATAACTTGTATATGACAGAGGATTGACATTTGTTCTTAAATTGGCGCCTTTTTATTATATATATAGATATATATCGCTGGCAGACAAAGAGTCAGTCTTGGCAAAAAAGCTCCTCGCCTTCTCCCGCCGTCGTTTGCGACGGAGTCAAAGGAGCCCGTAAGAGCCCTAGCATCTTAATACATGAAACAAAAACTTTGTACAGAGGACAGAGGATTATGATTTTATATAAAATTATGGATACAAATACAACAAAAAAACATTACATAGATATACTTGATGGAGATATTCAGTGGATTACTTATATAGCAGTAAATATAATTTACTTTCGTACCGATCACAGTTGCACGTTACATACAAACTGTTACTTAGCAACATTCCTTATTTTAAATGTGATGGATTATACATTTTCTTCTTATATAGACTTATATAGGTATATAAGTCTATATATAAGGTTAAGGTAAGTATATATGTATATATATAGTCCGAATTATAATTCACGCCAATATAGTTGTATAAATAATATTAAGTTGCCTGAAGTAAATAAAAAAACCATAAGTTAAATGAAATAATCTTTATTAAACATATTTTAAACTAAATTTAATGTTTGGTATTTATCTCTAAATCCGACCTTTTTTTAATCAAAAATAAATTTGAAGCCATTGGTTTGGAGCTTACGATTTTAGCAAATGCGAACTTTTTATAAATAACACCGAATATATCTAAATATAAAACAGTCATTAATTCCTTTTAAAATATCCATATATACACATAATTCACATTCTAGTCTTTACAAAATAATTATTTTGATACACGTAATATATTCGTTGATTAAAACGCTTCCTTCAAAGTTAAGATTTATATACATTTTTTAATTACAAAGAATATACCAAGCCACTTTGTATAAGATAAAAGCGGTAAACAAAAATTAAATTTTCAATTGAGGCAGATTATGTTTGTAATATTTTCTTATTCTAAATAGATCGGGCAATAAACCATTTAACAGTTGTAATTGATAAACATACAACTTCTAACCATACGCTTAGTGGTCCGCTAGCCAGGAAGCTATCTGTCAGACACCAGATCGGCCGAGAGGAAATGATTGACAAAATTTGGCTCTGGCTCGGGACCACTTTTAATAATATATTTTAGTTATTATATTCTATTTAAAAAAAAAAAAAAAAAATATATACATATACTATTGTAACTGCCATCAAATAATACGACTTTTATTAAATAATTCTATTGAGAAAACGTTCAATTTCAATCTGTCTGAAATAAAAATATCACACATAGTTTAAATGAAATTTAGGCATTAAAATTTTATTAAATTTTTTTTTTGTATTTAAGAGAGAACTTGTTTGAAAACTAAATATATAAAACCTTTTGGACATTGTATCTCATAAATAAAGAACGCACCGGAAATGTCTATTTACAAATTCTGTGCGTTCACTACTTATTATTAAATGTAAAATATATGTAATTACGAAATAATTCCAACAATTTGGTGTTATGGTGTCACCATCGAACACATCCACGTGCTACATTGAGATAAACACAAACATTACTGGCTGTATTGCTTGATAGACGTACATATATATATTGACTGACCCCATGTATAACATACATATACGTATATATACATCAAAATATTCACCTTATATTACAAATATGCTACTTCTAGGAGATAAGATACAAAAATTACAAGTAATTACATACCGACAGATGAGTTTAATACACATTTTATCTTAAAAAATATGTTTCGTCTCGTATAACCCGTTGAATATAAGAGGCATCTCGTGTTGAGAGCGTAATATAAACAGATCATTGACATTTTGTCAGCTAGTTATAGAAAATGACTCAAATATTCATTATATATCAGTTAAGAACGATCACTCATTAGGTTCCGTGGAATGATTATGTTACATGACTCTATTCTGAGTTCATTCCAAAGAGAGTGGTCTGTAGCAACCAAATCACCAATCAAACGGAATTCGAATAGGACATCTAACACGTACGCATGTAACCCTTTACACGTACGCTCTTTAATGCGAGAATTGGCTTTCCCATAAGAAATAATTTGCATGTAAATGTAGACAAAGAGAACGAGAAAGACCGCGCGCGCCCACAGCTTGCCGTGTTACCGTATCCTTCGTGCATGCTTTAGCGGCTTTTTGCAATAATTAATTATCATTGCAAAATGGAGGACATCTGACTATGGAACTTTAAATCTTAATCGAAGTTTTTGAGAAATACAATCTGTTTATTACAAAAAAACTTTCCGCGCTAAATTGCACGCGTGAAAGAACTCGTCGAATAAAGGCAGTTAATCATTCGAGTGAACCTTATGTGTGAGCATATTATCAGATTTTTATATCTTTTATTATCAGAAACGTTGAATAAGTCAGGTCTTTTTATTAAATCAAAACTCAATACTATTAACACATACATGGCACTTAATTACATTATAAAAAAGCATGTATATACACAGCACCATCTAGTCCCAGACTAAGCAGAGCTTGTACTATGGGTAAATACGTAATTATTGTACATCCATAATATATATATATATATATATGCGACCAAATTGCACAACAATATATCTAGATTCATTCTAGATGAATATATCATGTACAAAATCGAGGTTCCGGAGATCAGGTGCATTGTGAACTGAATTAATGAATATATATATATCAACCCTTGGATCAATGTACTAAACAATAATAAATATATATTCATATATATATATATTATTTTTATTTCCAAGTTAACATATTACTTCTCTTTAATTGTATGAAAACATCAAAATCGTAGTTACTTTAAACTAAAACTGATCTTTGGATTTATTAATCTCTTGCATTCTCGTCAGATGTCGGTAGGTAGTACATGGAGTCTATGAAATATTTCGTAATGTCTGACACTAGACTTCTATCGGGCAATTCTTGTGCTACACCGTATATTGCCATCTGAAAATAATGTAATATATTAATAAATAATAATATCCCAGGACAATTCACACAGCGTGCTACAAGTTCCAAGCACACCTTATGTTATGGGTACTAAACAACTGATCGATATACTTAGATACATTTTTTACATAATATAAATACGTAGAAAAAAACCATTCGAAACATATCGAAAGTAAAGCGTGTGCTAAACCGCTAGACCACCGAGGTCGTCAATAAATCAATTTGTAATGTTGAAATACATATATTGCTACATGGTGCTCTTAAAGGTAAATGAACCGATATTTTTTAGGTAGATACATATGCACCTTTATTTTTGTATCTGTACACTAAAGCTTTAATAAATAAATATATATATGACTGCATTAGGTAAAGACTTATTAAAATAGTTGTAAATATGTATATAAACACATAAATGTATTGTATATATCCGTACCTTCCCCTCGACGGGTTCCCCGGCGTGTTGTCTGCAGTAGGTGGCCGCCTCCCGAACGTCGCGCACGAATCGCTCCGCAACTCCCGGCGCTGTGTGCGCGTGCGTGATGCAAATATGCACTCTGTACACAAAAAATATACTACTTATATATACACTAGATAATAATGACAGTCCTGGAGAAAGAAAAAGGATTAAAAAAAGAAATGAAACATTGTATCTAATATTAAATATACTAATTGATATTTAGTATTTATTTAGTTTGTAAAAATCTGCTTTTAAATTACCCTAAAGGGGCGAAATAAAATAGGGGAAGAAAGTTTGTATGGAATTTCGTAATATTTGAAACTAGAACGATGAAACTCTTTTCTTTGGGTTTTTTGGGTCAGTTTTTCTTTATTTGGTCACTATAACACGCGGACAAAGTCGCGGGTCTAACAATATCCGATCTCAAATTCTATAGTCCAGATTTAGCTTTTAAGACACATTCTTATACATACCCAGACGGAAACTGCAATGCATTCAAACTCCATCCCTTTTTGTGCAAGTAGTCAGCCAGTTTGAATATATCGAACTCTTTGGAACCGAATGCTATCACAGTTGTTGCAGGCTTCCCAAATATGAAGATACCATCCACCTTACGGAGTCTAGAAAGAATATGACACATAATTTAGTTAGATACTAAACGAGCTTACAATTTTCTAATATGGGCCATACGTAGAAAGATGACCTATATTATTAATATTATAAACGCGAAAGTTTGTGAGTATGGATGGATGTTTGTTACTCTTTCACGCAAATTCTACTGAACTTTATTGAAGCTATATTACTGCAGTAATATAGCTTATATATCAAATTCAAAAATCATTTACCCTGCATTCCTACAGTCCTACATTAAGGACATTTTAGCTGCTTATGGACGTCAAATTAAAATATAATAATTTTAAAGTAATACTAACTCTGCCTCCACAAATTTGGTGGTTGTGAGTATTTGGTCGGCCATGGTCACGTACCGCTGCCGGCCTACGAATACCATGGTGGCCCAACAAGCGGCGATCAGTCCGCCAGCACGGCTTCCTGCACAAAGTATACACATTCGAAACTAAACCACTCAATTTATTAGTTTTTAAGTAGCAATTGTATTACTTTTATTTGAGACATATAAAGATTATTATTATTATTATCGTTGTTGTCTCGTTAACTTTTGCTGGTTTTTTACGCTTTATGGAGTACCACATTTATTATCATTATTTTTGCATTAAAGTGAGAAGTTTTGGTTTTCTCTCTATGCTTCCGCGTTTGCGCCTACGGTATACGCTTCTGCAGAGAATGTTGGGGTTTTATTTTTTTTATGAAGTGGGTTTCTTTTTATTAACATAATAAAAAAAACCACTAATTGAGAAGATTTGAATTTTTTAAATTCAGGTTGAATTGTGAGTTTGGTGAAGAATATGATTTACCTTTACTTTAACTGTTGTGGATTTTCATAAGTGAAATATATAATATAATAAGAAGTCGGAACAAAACAAAATAAAACAACGAAGATAGCAAACAAAACGATAGGAAAAAAATAAAGAAAACTCAAAACAATATACGAAACATAACAAAACTAGACAAAACGAAATGAAAATAAGAACAAACAAACAACGAAGAACTTAAACAATATTAACGATGATCTTGGTGTTGGTGATGATGATGATGGTTTTGAGGATATAAACCATTCAATTACATAACCTTAAACATATATATTATCAAAAAAGTATTAAAGTAACATATTGTTTAAAATATGTTATCGTTAGGCCTCAAGCCTATAAGATATTTTGCCTATAGTAGAGTCTAAATTACAAACTATTTAAATTTATATTAATTATTTAATTAATAGTGCTTTGGTACATACCATTGACGGTAGGTGATCCATAGACGCCACCAGGCCACTCCGTAGTGACCGTATACTGATGATGTCTGTACTCCGACTTACGATATAGTACCACCGAAGTGCCTTTAGGAGCAAATCCATACTGAAAGTCAATCAAAATATCTTTATTCACGTAAATTTGTCTATTACAGACTCTTATGATATGTCAAATCTGACTAGATTTTAAACTTTCGCGTTTATTATATTACCAAGATTTATTTGTATAAATAATATTTTTATTATACTAGGACAAACCTTATGCGTATCTGCCGACATACTGGCAACACCGGGCAGTCTGAAGTCAAACACTGGTACGCTGTGGCCAGCGTCAGGCATGAAGGCGGCCACGAAACCTCCCAGACAAGCGTCCACGTGTAATGGTATATCATATTCCAGGGCAATGTCTGATAGCGCATTAATATCATCCATAGTGCCGTACGGGAAGTTTGGTGCTGAACCCACTATCTGTGGATCAATTAAGAAGAAAAATGTTCATGTTAAAGGAGATTCATGAGTAATAAATTTAAATTTCATAAAAAATGTATGTAATGTATATTTTCAGGACTAATATCTTAGATGGGGTAATCAGAGCATTGTAATATAATATCTCAGGTCAATTGACACAGCGCCATCTAGTTCCAAGCTTAGCTAAGCTTATGTTACGGGTACTAAGATAACTGATATACATATAATGTAATGTATTTGGACTCTATTATCCGCATTTATCCTCTCATCTGGGCCGTTATGATTACTTATTACTTACTTCCAATAGTCGCGAGTTCCTCGCATGGTACAAACAAATGTATTTATGAGAGTTCTTGTTGTATTGGTCTGGATGCCATGTTTTACAGTGTACCGTCTGCATACTCATGAATACATTTGCTAGTATCGTACTAGGAATCGAACCCGCGACCATCAGAAATAAGGCAGTAAGACGGTGTGCTTAACCACTAGACCACCAACGCCGTTGTGGTGAACGCAATCATATTTGTTATGTATGTATTAACAAAAAAATACTTAAGTCGTCATACCACTGGCCATATCAAGCTCAGCTTAGCTTAGGTGAGGCTTTGTTAATTGTCTAACATTATTATTATTATTTTTTTATATATAATACGATGGTGGCAAACAAGCATATGACCCATCTGATGGTAAATGGATACCGTAGCCTATGGACGCCTGAGACACCAGGAGTGTCACGTGCGCGTTGCCGACCCTTATGAGATTAAGGGTATATTAATCTTAAAAAACCTCATGCTGTAGTCTCGTGAGAAAACCTCGGTAGGAAATTCATTCATTAATTATAATTTCTCCACTAAGACATACCAAACAGGTCCTCCTGCCAATCGCTTTCTTCACCGCGCCAATCTTGACCGTCATTGTATCAGGGTCCACTGGTACGGTCTTAACTGAGAGGCCGAGGTACTGAGCCGCTTTGTCGAACGCCGAATGTACAGTGGAAGGGACCACTATCTGGGGATTCTTTATGCCTTTACTATACGCGAGATCTCTGAATGCTTTGCAGGCCATTATTATTGACTCTGTACCGCCGGTTGTCACCTGTCAATGAAGAAAGTGTTACATTAAATTAGGGACATTTACAAAATTTACAATATTAGGTTCCAATGGAAGATAATACAAAATTCATAATACTGTATTATTAGTGCATGATGGTAGTGTGGAGATTAAAAAGAATAATAAGAATTTATTTTTTTGCCACACGCAAGTTGCTCTTTATCTTCTGATGAGTTCCAAATGAGTGGTACATTAAAGTAATATGACTATTCTAAGTGCTTTTAATAAGTTTATATGAATAAAGATTATTTTTAATTCTCTTTTTGCTGCAGGGAACTTAATATTGTAATATATTTTACCCATATTTTATATGGTACCGTGAAGACTAACATATATGTATACAAAAAATATATAAAATAACATCAATTTTGTGTCTGTTCTCACGTCACTTTTGGTGGGAATCTGCTACCATAACGTCGATACAGCACTCCCATTGCTCAATAGGCAAAGGGCGCAAAGGGGTTCGCCGTTACCCCTCTAGGGAGTGCGGCTAACCTGTGTCAGCACCGTAATGTTGGAGACCCGAATCACAAACGCCTTACAATTAGCTTATAATTTTAACTCGACCCCAGGCGACACCCTCAATGTCAGATTATTTTCGGTCAGAATGTAGTCAATAATGTCCTATTATTAATAATTAAGTCAATCAGGTCAGTTAGACCATGATGACGTGTTAGCTGGAATTCGGTTGTCGTCGTCGTCGGTACTATGGTTTAAGGAGGGAACAGCATGTAAGTATATGTTAAATGGCCAGAAAATATTTCATCCATATTACGATTTATTGCCCTTTGCCTACAATAATTTAGTGTAAATTTTCATTATATTTCATTATCGACAGCCTATTAAAGGTAAGCCTTAGAATAGGTAAATGTTCAGATTTCATAATTATGACTAAAAAAAATGTTACAAGGATGTAGATATGGACATTATCAACGTACAATCAATGTAACATTGCATACTAGTAACATTACAATGTACCTAACGTAGTATTTACAAAACACATTAATGCTAATTATCTGCCTCCTCCGAGCGAAGTAATTAGCCTTGAAGCGACTGATAAACGTTTCTTGGCCAAATATTGAATTTATGCTGTTGTTATGCTCTAACATGTAAATTATTTATTTTTTGCTGACCAAATTTTACAAAAAAAAATTCAATGTACTATTTATAACTACTATGTGTATATCTCTACATAGTATAAAACAAAGTCGCCGCTGCTGTCTGTAATTACTAAATTACATAATGTATTTTTTCAGCAATAGATGGAGTTCTTCAAGAGAAAGATTTATATGTATAATACATGCGTGTTATAGCATAGAGCAAGCCGTAAAATTCAATGATTTGTAATGCATTAGTGTGAAGTCGGAATGGGTCGCTAATAATACCATATAATTTATTTTACTATTATGACGTACTTTTTTCTAATAATAGCTGAATCCGCGACTTCATACCCGTTATATATACAGTAAAAACTATTTTAGTTGTATATCGATTGGTATAAAATAAATACAATATTTTAAGTGACGCTTATCACAATATATTAGTGAAAACCACGCCCAAATCAGTTTAGCAGTTTATGCTAATGAAATAAAAAAAGTCAAAAACTGTAACAGTTATTCGAATGACCATGCATGATTGGTATAGCGGGTGTCAAATGATAACGTGATGACTGTGGTACTGTTCATGTATAGGCGGCGGTTACCGTTACATAAAAAAAAAACAAACAAATGGGATAAGGAAGAACTGATGATGATGATGATGACAATGATTAAATTTGTTTAGATTTCCAAGCATTAAAATTGTATGTGTTGAAATCATGTTGAAACTCACCGTACCGCAGCAATCGCTGTCGCCGTGGAACAAGTTGATGGCCATTCTCACAATCTCCGCCTCCATTTTGTTGATGCCTGGAAACACGTCTGAGTGCAGAGGATTGGTGTATGCTGTGAGTGCATACGCGTCGCAGGCCACCTTCACAATCTCCTCGTTTACATGGTATATTGCCCCAGATACATTACCGTTCTTCCAGTCGTATGCACCTGTGAATGCAGAAATTACTTACATTTTCTAATATATTTACCTAAATAAATAATTTCATTGTTTGTTACAAATAACACAAATTTCACTTTTATTTATCTATACAACAAACAAATGTTTGTATTTTTAACATTTAATTCTAGAATAAAACAAGACACCAAATGATCCTAAAACATAATAGAATTTGAGTTTTTAATATTTATAATTTCAATTAATATAATGATAACATAATGAATTAATAAACTTATATGACTCATGAAAATATGTACTTCTAAAATAAAGGATGCAAAGCATTAATTTGTAAATTATTTATTATATTAGATTAAAGATATTATATGATAATGTAACATTGTTTAGAACAGGAGTACCAAAACAAAAACTTTATAACCAAAACAGTAAATTGCTGGACATAATCCCCACTACTATCCCCATTTTTATTAATGGCTGTTAATGGAATGGTGCACCCACCTGCGCTACAGATTTATGCTAATGTGCCTCCTAGTTTTGTCACCATGGTCAAATCTGCCTGACCTCATGCTCATCTCATCATCCTCCACTGGTGCCCTGCTAGTGTATAAAGTAGCACAAGTGGATGCACTATACTATTAATATACACTAAAAAAACACCACTCACCCAAGCTTAGATGATCCCTAACCTCCTCTGCTATCTGTTCAGATGTTAGACCTTTCTCTGGCAGCTCTCTTCTGACTGTCATACCAGCTAATCTCTTTGACACGTCTTTCCGGAATCCATCATTAATATCAGATATTTTCTCATCAATCTTCCTTCTAACTATCGGTATTTGTCGGAGCCATCTGAAAAACTCCCTGCGTAGTCTTGTTTTGACACCTATAATACAAATACACAAATTTGTAAACTCCTTTAGGGGTGATCCAAAAATTCAGTTATATGAATTTCACGATTCTTGACTTTACCCTTGTTCTTGTTAAAGCTGGTTAGTCATTTGTGAAACTCCAGTTTCCGTCCCTAATATGATGTGACATATTTTACAATTTTACATGATAAAATAACAGATTCGAAATTAGTTTTATTAAATTCAATTAAATTAACATATTTTTTATTATAATGTAGATTTTGGCATGAAACACCATGCAAGTCTGACTCCTCCCAAACCTTTTCACATTTTTTTGATATTTTCTCTCTTGAATCCATAATTTATGGATGACACTTATAGAGGATATAATTGACTGGTAGAAAATGCATGACTGCATTGTGTGTTAAATTTGCCAAATGTACTGTACATGATACCTTTTGTATTCTGTGCAGAATTAATTAAATAAATAAATAACACATTTGAAATGAATGTGAATATTATTGTTTTGACAGTTTCCAATCTCCCATTTTATGACCATTATAGATAAGAGGGTCAAATAGCAATTATTTTTAAACATCTGTTTACATTTATTTTGTTGTATTTACATAAATATACTAAGTAGGAGACGAAAATGTCAAAATAACTGGTAATAATAACAGCATTGTTCCTCTCTACTTCTTTATCCACTTTTAGGCACATCAGTCCCACTTTCAGGTTTTTTCCCCCATTTTCCCCAGAGCAAAAATATCCTATTAAGTATCTAATACAAAGGATCTTTGCTTACTTTTTTATGTAACTGGTAATGGAAAACAAACTAATGGCCCACCTAATGATAAGTCATAACTATTGCCAATGTATATAAACAGTACTATAAACAATACATTTTCAAGTGATACCCACAATCTGGTATCATATTTATCACATAATTGTTCACACATAGTCATTCCAGAGGACTAAGATGTCATGACTCTTATCATGTAATGTCACTGCCTTACCTTACCCTTCAACTTTCTTTTCTCTATCTGCCATCAGCCTTAAGTATATTTTACAAGGCAACCTGCTTGGCTGCTGAAATAGGTAAGACTGAGGTACTCCAGATGATATTTACTATTTAACTAATTTAAATTTCCTAGGATTACTTACTATCTTTTGCATTGTACAAACTGTGTGCCCACACTACTGCAAGCACTGAGGATGCAGTCATGGTAACTATTTGCCATGGTTCCCTGCCCTCAAACAGCTTATTTATGGCCTTGAATGGTTGCCGCTGCTCACTCATTTCTATGAAAAAATATTTAGAATATTTTAACCAAAAATGAAAAGTTAATAATTGCTGCCATTAAACTAGACAAGCATAGACAGTGAAATATAAAAGTGAACTGTATTTATAGTTAAGTATTGAAGTTGAAAGTAAGTTGTGTCACTATAAGACAGACACTGAGACAGATTTGACATAAGAGTCTGTAATAGCCCTACATGAATAAAGATATTTTGATTTTGACAGGATCAAGAAATTTCCATATGCAAATTGAACAACATAATGATAAAAATAGGTACCAAATTTTAAGTCATCTTATTTATTGTATCTGCTTGATCATTCAGATAGATAGAATTTCATATTTTTGTACAGAGAGGCATATTTTTCTGCTTAATATTCCTAACAATGACTATAGACAGCCTGATAATACAATTTTATTACAGTTAAAAGATTTACAATGCTTTGTTTACTCTGTATAAACATTGTGCTTACAGTCTTTCTGTGAGGCCAGAAATGCTTATTGTGATGAGGTATAGCATATTAATATTGATTATTAATAACTAGCTGGTTTCACAAACACTTGGGAGTTGTAGTTAGATTAAAAATATGTAAATAAACAACTTCAAACTTCTTGCATGCAACTTACCTAATACGGTTACTTGAAATTCACAATTGAACAAATTTTATTCCAAATTTAATTGTAACCACAAATCGGCAAATTCTAATCAATTACAATTTTATATATACTGAAAACACTAGTACACGACTATATATATGATAATGATTAATAAAATCTACGTTACTAAAATATTGTAAGTTATTTATTGGATCACACTCAGAATGACTATCAAAAGTTAGAGTATCCGACTAAATTAACGTAATTATGAAATTTGCACTGACGACTAATTATTATCTGTTATCTAAATTACAAGATTAGAAATTTGAATTTATAATTCACGTTCACAATAACAAAAGAAAAAAACAATTAGACATTTTTTTTATTATGTTATACGGCTCTGAATACAAGTCCTTTTGATTTTTTTTATTAATATGTTTTACGACTCTGGGTACAAGTCCTTTTAGCCCAACTTAAACTTATACAATAATATAAATTACAAATATAAATTATAAATACAATATAAATTACAAAAATTAAAGTTAAATTCTCGGAGATGATTGTTCTTCAAATTTCGCTCAGTTTCTATCCAAAGCTCAGCTACATCAATAACTAAAGAAATTCTCGACTACCAGCATGTCGTTACAAAACAAAAATAATTTCTATCTAAAAATTATATCATTTAAACCTCGAGAATATATTATAACAGAAACCGTGTCCTAAGATTTTTTTAATCTAAATGTGAATGAATATGTTAATCTCAATATATTTAAAAGATATAGTTTAAAAGATATAAAAGTGATAAATATTTATAAAAAATATCTAAGCACAGATAAATAATATAGGGTGTAAGTTCCATAGAGTCCGGGCAAAATAACATACTGTCATAGAGTTTCAAATACTAAAAAAAAATATCTATGGAAAATCGTAATCTAAACAGCTGTTATGAGTCATCAACCTCCAGTTTCCTGTATACCAAACACAACATTCGGACCAAAAATGTCGAAAGCAAAAAAAGTAATCGAAGAAGCGAGGGAAATCAATAATCCCGAAATCGATTTGGTTGATAAAGGCATATCTAACCTCGAAGAAGTACCAGGATTGTGTAAGTTGTTGTACAAACAGGTTTTTACTCTTTAAATGGAACAAGTTTTTCAATTGGTATTTTTCAGTTGCCTATACATTTTACTTCTTTTTCATCGCATTTGAAACTATTAAATTTATTTAAAAAATGAAGGTAAAGCTTTTTAATTTGTTTACTGCCATTTGTTTCATATATATTTCTTTTATTTTATTTCAGTTAATCTTGCAAATATAACTCGATTGTCTCTAAGTCACAACAAAATACAGACTGTCCCAGCCGCCTTGGCTCATTTGATGAATCTCGAAATACTAAATTTCGCTAACAATCACATAGAGGAGTTGCCAGTGAGCCTATCTTCACTGCCCAAACTTCGTATTCTGAATGTTTCACTGAACAGGTTGAATGGACTGCCTCGAGGTTTTGGCGCTTTCCCTGTGTTGGAAATACTTGATTTGACATATAATAATCTCAGTGAAAAAACATTGCCAGGGAATTTCTGTATGATGGGTAAGTTCATCTATATTTTTTGTTCAATGTATATAATATATATGGAATGGTCTGTCTGGCTAAAGGATGACTGAATGAGCCTGAAGTCATGACAGTTACATAGTTTACAGTGCCCTGTGAGAAAGTCAATCTGAAAAACATCTTTGCTAGCAATAGGGTTACTACTACTATTATGTTAATGTTTGTTGCTCTACTTAGAAATTGTCAAAATTATCACTGCATTAATATGTTGAAATTAGATAGTTGTAATATTTTGATCGCTGCTTTCTTTATAAAATCAATGAAGAGGGATAATGTCATTACAGAAAGTCTCCGAGCCTTGTATTTGGGAGACAATGATTTGGAATACCTGCCACTGGAAATTGGAAATTTGAAGAATTTGCAAATTGTAAGTATAATCTAGTTTATATTAAGTAATAATTTTTTTAACATTTTTAAATGTTTCCTAAGATGTGTAATATTGAGATATAATGAGAAATACTAGTATAAGGAATAATGTGCAAAGTGACTGTATGGATATTTTTAGCACATTGAGGAAAATGTACCAGTAAATTAAAATAGGTATTACATTACATAGTAATGCGTAATATAAAAAACAATGTTTTTAATAACACTAGGTGTAGTTACAATATGCATTAACTGAAGAAAACCACACAGTAACCAAGCACCACAATCTACAAAAAGTGATAAATAATGCATGGAGGACCCAACAAACTTTTAGGCAAAATTCGGACTTGCCCCAGAGTCTGATGCGGGGCCAGATATGCTCATGATTAGGAACTTATTTATTCAAAACTTTATAAGTATATCTAATATATTCAAGTATTAAAGTTGAAATAATATATGAGTATTTCAATCTGGTAGGTGAAATATAACTGATATTAATTTGTCTTCAAAGCTAGGAATGCCTATATGTGTTCTGTGATTCTAATAAACACATACATAGTCGGTTACTATTTATAATTAGAGAAAATAAATTCACACTTCAAATAAATTATAACTCATAATATTATACTTTCAAATTTCAGCTGTCGCTAAGGGAGAATGATCTTATAGAAGTGCCCCGTGAGTTGGGACAATTGTCACGTTTGAGGGAACTGCATTTACAAGCCAATCGTCTGATTGTGTTGCCCCCGGAAATTGGTTGGTAACATTAAAAATAACTAGAATTTATTGTTAAACTAAGTATAAAATAGCTATTTTTAATATGCAAACTGGGGAACTTGGTAGTAATAGTGATTGGTGACTCCATTGCTGGCAATGTACCATAACAGGTTTACTTCTGTAAACCATGCTGTTAATTCCTAATTAACTCGCCATGATGGGTTAACTAGTCGTATTTTTATTATTTTGGTTGCCGTTAACAGTTAACACTAGGCTGCCAAGCTATATCGGCACTCTAATAGCTTATTTTCCTGATGATGCCTCATTTAGTGGTGAAACACATATCGCAAATTATTAATATTATAAATGCGAAAGTTTGTAAGTATGGATGTTTGTTACTCTTTCACGCAAAAACTAATGAATGGATTTCGATGAAACTTTACAGTAATATAGCTTATGCATCAGAAAAACACAGGTTATATTTTTGATTGAAATTTGACGCGGGTGAATCCGCGGGCACAGCTAGTATAATATATAATATCGCATTAGGTGTAAACCTAATGACGGTCGAAGTAATCATTACAGGGGAAGGTCAGAACACTTCCAGTAGCAAAGGTCGGATTTGGATTCATACATTTTAATTAAATCAGAATTAATTATAACAATGGGCTAACTGTCACGACGTCTTTCCTGATAGACCCTCCAACATTTGTGTACAAGGGTACAATCATCAATATAGAAAAACTGGTGGATTACTCTCCTACAGACCGGTTTAATAAAAAAGCTTACCCATTTATCCATTTCTTTTGCTAATATTTTTCAATTAATCATGTATATTAAATAGTAAAATAGTCCCTTGACTTTATATATTCATATAGTTTAGACCACCGAGGCAGTCTAAATTGATTGAATTGAAATACATTGCCATTTCTTACTTTATTTTAAATGCCATTATATTCCTTTTCCAATTAATGTGCTATTATTTTTTCCACAGGTTCATTGGATCTGGCCAGTAATAAATCAGTATTAAGATTAGAAGGAAATGCTTGGATACCACCGATTGAAGATCAGATCAACTTGGGACCTTCCCATGTGTTGGACTATCTACGTTCAGAAACCTACAGAGTGTGAGTATAGGAAAATTATATATTCTTAAATTAGTTTTTTTTATATTTAAAACATTTATGGTATTACTGTTTTGGAGATAACATTCTATGAAAGACGAATAGAATTTACTAGAAATAACATTTTTTGTCTGTTTGTTTGTTCCGGCTAATCTCTGAAATGGCTGAACCGATTTTGATGGGACTTTTTTGGCAGGTAGCCGATATAATAAGGAGTAACTTAGGCTACTTTTATTTTTGAAACATTCTTTTATGTTAGAAAATTAAAGGTAAATTCCATGCGGACGAAGTCGCGGGAACAATTAGTAGTAAGTATAATTGAGTAACCAACAAGGTCAAAGGTATAATTGCATATTAAAATTATGGTTCAAACCTTTTTCACTTATATTCAATTATTGGATTATAATAGTTGTTTACTATTATATATATCTTGTAACAACTATAGTTGAACAAAACCTAAGATTATGCATCTTTAAAAATATACTTTAATTCACTAATCATAATTTAACTATTGCTTAAATGCATATAATTCATAAAACATAAAACAATTTGCACCAAGATATCATATTCCTAAACACTCATGTCTATTTCTTATTAGAAAATAAGATATAAATCATTCCCCTTTAGCCTTACAAAGGTTTTCTAGGTAAGGGTCGGCAACGCAATAACACCCCAGATGTGTCAGACATCCATAAGCCATGGTAACTGTTTACCATCAGATGGGCTTTATTTACCACCATCATAGTAAAAAAAAAGGTATAATAATAATAACTATGTTTGCAGTTTGTACAGCCGACACATGTCAGCAAAGCCACCGCCGCAGCCGCTGACGGTGGACAAGAGCAAGAAGGCCAGCCGTGCCCGCTCCTAATTCATTATATAATAACATATAATGTGCCATAATTACTAACCACTTAATATATACTATAGGTACAAACCTTACTAGTGAACTACTACTTTAATGTGATGGAAGTGAAGCTATATATCTGTCTCAGGTTATTGACAATTTAACTTATAAGAACTCACGTGACTCAGTTACACATGCTTGCCAGCCAACTGGTATTCTTGTATGAACGAGAAATGAACAGGCGAAACGACATATACACAGATAGCTTATCCTTTACTTGTTAGTATTTTTTTAATGGATGATAATGAAATATTGCACCAGCCTGAGCTGACGGTGTATGCTGGCGGAGCAGCGGTGAACGATGACAAGACGAGTATGAAGTCAGATCAGTTAGCCTATCATGATCAATTCACTAATTAACCACGATGGTTTCTAGGAACACTGATTAGAGATGGTATACTGCTAGCAATGGAGCCTTGATCTTCATTACTAACGATTGACTTCTCCTTACATGCTAGTTTTCTGATACTACATACAGTACAAGTTAACACTACCGTCTTTTAAACGAATCAAATCAGCAATCAAAGGGTTAAGAATCACGCGAAAGTAATCAGGGATTAAAAAAAATTATAACACCTTACAAAGCAGGTAATCATAAGTCGAAGCGTGAATTTTGAGTGGTACTTCGATATTGTGGAGAAAGGAGAAAATGGTATCTTCTGTCTGTGAAAATTGTAAGCCTCATTTGTGAATGTCTAGATTAAAAAATCTGAATCTGTGTCAAATTGTGTTGTCCTAATTTATTGTAATAAATTTGTAAAGCATTTTAGTGTATGATAAAATAAAAGCAAGTAGGTAAAAAAATATTTTAATGCATCACACAATCGTACGTTATGTACATGGAAAAAAACAAAAATATTCAACATGTTAACACTATTACACTATTAAATAATTAATATTCTTTAATTATAATAAGTGCACTTATATACATTTTGTAATTATACTGAATTGTTTAAATTGAGCACTGTTGTAGTTCTTAGAAAAAACCGAAACAGAAATATATGTAATGATAAAATATTAACTAAATAATTTAGATTACAGGTGCTATATGATGTCTAATTAAATAATTAATTGTTAAACTAATACTATTTTTGATAATTCTGAATTTTAATTATTCATTTAACAAATAATGCGTATTAATGTTGTGATGTTATTTTACAAAATATGAATAAAACTAGTACTAACAAAACTGTCTTGTTATTTATACCATAATATGTCATACGTGATGTTGCATAGAAATTGAAAAAAAAAAGATATAATTATACATGTAAGTACTATGTCAGATATTTTCTTATAATAATTTAACATAAAAAACCTGGAGAATTTACAATCAAATAAAAAACATTCATCAAAAGCCGCTAGTTCATACCTAACTGCTAAAAATATTGTTAGAAATAATGTTTAATCTGTTAATGTAAAGTTTCTAGTAAATATTAATAGAAATTACCTATGTTGAAACTTGAAACATCAAGATAATTAAAAAAATATAAATTCCCGTACCAGTGGAATTCGATATAACTATTAGTTACGTAACTTATATCGAGACAACCCACTATATAAAAATACACAAATATATATTTATGTTAAGCATTAAAACTATGTTAGGAACCAGGAATGACACAATTTTTATCGTAAAATCATTATTAGGAGAAGATGGCACAAAATATTCCCCTCTGATCAATCGTCCAATTCAAACGAGGATCGAATTACAACGGCTTCAGACGAGATTTTATCGGTGCCCTAGACTAAAATCGTATCGGTCAGGCGGGAGTTGGCCTTCAGCCGCTCCGTAATTCCTCTTGGTTTGGAGTGCACTCGCGCCCTATCGCCCAGTGAAATTGTAAAGGCCTGCTGCTGCTAACAGCAATAGTCCAAACAAAAATTCAAGATGAAATTGGACCTTTAAATGCTTTACTACTTGATATTTATAATAGAGTAAGCACTAAGACTGATTTACACATATCTTGTTTAATCTATTCCCCGACCTCTTACGGAAAATAACTCCTCCCTCATATGTTACTAAATCAATATGGACTAGTTATAATTATAATAAATTAAAATACTAAGCAAAAATGTCTATCTACATGCTACATGATCTGTACGAGATATTATTTAGTTCTGTATTAAATTAAGCACTTAATGAATGTCCTAACATGCAATTGAAAATCAAATTAAAAATAATTATGAAATATTTGAGATCTGCAAAGATGCAATAATTTGAACAATGAATTAAAAATATATATATATACTTTACAACATAAACTTTTATTAATCAATGTCACTTAAGAATTAAAGAACTGAATAAGCTTGCATAAAATAGTCTACTACTGTAAGCAAAGCCGCATGTTATAACTAGTGATCACATAAATTACACTGCCGTTTGACTTCACACCAGCAAACATAAGTTTAACTTTGCTTTATGCTAGATTTTATTATAGAAAAAATATTAGTACATATAATATTAATTCTGTAGTTTATGCATGGTAGAATTTAGATCTCTTCATACTCAGATGAATCGTCATCTGATATATCGACGTTCCGGGTGGAGTTGGCGACTGGTGTCGGCTTCCTGCATCTGTCCAGTGAGAACGCGTACGATTCGTAGTCTAGTATTTCCTCATCGCTCAAATGAGAATTTCCCTCCACAAAACTGGCGAATCTGAAATGTATACACATGAGTTTTCCTAACAGGCGTTTTTCTTAGTCGTTTTCCACCTTCTCTGTATATGTTTACAAGAAATTATGATTTATATTACTAGTAGTTGAATTACAGGAAGAAAAAGATACTTCAAAATTACAGGATAAGTGGCATGACATCTTAGTCTTCCCGAATGGTGTTCATGTATATATAGTTCATGTGTTCATGATTAGTTACCACTTACCATCACATGGACAGTCAGCTTGGTTGTCATTTTTATTAGATTTCAGGATTTAATTAAAAGAAAAGTTCAAACATTAAAATTTGACTACAGATAAATCACCTGTGGAGCACCGAGCATTTACCGTATTTACCGTTAAACACACATCCTAAAAAGTATGAATCTCCCTGAAATATTCTCTAAGGCCGCATTGTTGTATTTATGTATATAAACACAATATGTTTAGTTTACTAATAAATTGTACACATCTTCTATCACTGTATAATGCAAATTGCATATTCTATCTATCTACAACGTAGTTTCAACTTGCGGCCCTACCCTGACCTGCGAGGCACTATAGATCCTGACCTTCTTGAGTCATTAAGCTTCAGCATGATGTTCCACTGTGCGCAGTCTGGACTGGAGCAGTATTTTCTCAAATTCTCCAAGGCCTGCTTTGTTTCCCTCGCCCCTTCTTCGTAGTACTCCTCGCTGGTTAGCAGACGAGCTTTTGGAGGGAATTTCCTTCGCCTATAAAATATACATTAATTAGTACTTAGAGATTAAGGCCGCCCATCGTATTTAATGCTTCTAGTCATTATTTATCATTCTTATTTATAAAATTAATAATAAACTCTAAAAATATTTTCATATGTTCAAAGCAAAGTATGGTGATCCGTTCCAATTTTGTAGGGACAGTATCATCACATTTTTGGGTACCTACATTACGAGAAATGCAGTCAGGTTGATTTGTCATACAAGAAGTTAATTTAAGTAACAGAAGTGGATCCGCTCAGTACCAACTTGACATAAGCACTTTTGGCTAGTTACAATATTTTTATATTCTACAACTCATTTGGAAAGCCTACTCATCACAAGAAAGTAAGAAACTTTCGTGTTGCTCTTTCAAATTAATGTTATTAAGCAACACATATTTAGGATTTTGTGTGAATCGCCAAGAGACTAAGTACCATCCTGAATAAATTTTATAATTAATAATTTATTTATACATACCAATAAGCTTGTATCTTACGAAGTAGTGACTCTGGAAAGTATTTAATGACTAGTGAAATAATAATCACGGCGGCAGAGGCCTCCTGATACTCGCTACTGAAGAATATCAGTAACACACCAACAAGCTGAAACATACAGGATAAGGTTACATGGTACAGAGAAAAACGAGCAATGCATGGTTAGTGAGGTATCGAGGACGTCAAATGGCACCGTGACATCCGTAGTCTTATTCATGTATGTAGGTAATGACTATTATTTACCATCATTTCACATTAAATAGATAATTACGACCTTCATTGCAACATGAAACGAAAACGAACAGTTCTCAGAAAACACCATCCATCTATAAAATTCTGTTCAAAGATTCAAGATAGTTACTCTGTCTGGTGGCGTACTGTAACACCATTTGACATGATGACACCATTATACATCATATAATGAATTGGCTGACCCGGCAAAACTTATTTTACCATTAAACATTAATTTCGTGGCGGTGGTGAAAGGTTTAAATTTAGGATCATATGTAATTTTTAATTGCGAATTATTTAAAAAAAAGGTCCGCCCAATGTTTCGGGCTGGACCGCTCTTATCGCTTAGGGGTATAAAAAATTGTTCTCAGACCTATTGAATAGGTCTAGTGGTTTAGCATATCGTTTTACTTCCGATGGTCGCGGGTTCGAATCCTCGCAAAAATATTTATTATATCAGTTGTCTAGTACCCATAACACAAACTCTGCTTACCGTGGGTCTAAATGGTGATGTGTTAATTGTCCAGGGTTATTATTTATTTATTTATATTAGACAATATAATTATCAAATTCAAACTACACATAATAAAAAAAATATGTTTTACAATACATACCTGTAAAGTCCACATAACAAGGTTCTTGCTCCTCTGGTTTTTAGGTGGCCCAATTTTGTAGCATACAATGAAACTAATGAAGCTGACCACCAATGTATACCAGAACATATATGTCTGGTAAGACAGCACTAGGCTGCGGATGTTCTCCCATACTTGCTGGAATATGTACACGCCAACTGTCCACCCGCCTATCAGAATGCCGTATGTTAAAGTTTTCTGTAAGAGAATTTTTATTTATTGATCAATACAATCCTTACTAATATTATAAATGCAAAAGTAACTCTGTCTGTATATACATTTTATTTCCAGTCCGTGCCTCTCATACATGACGCTGGCATAAATTGTCGTAAAAATAACAACCAATTGCCATAGAAGAAAATAGAAGAACTCTGTCTGTCTCGCTTTCACGCTAAAACTACTGAACTGATTTAAATGAAATTTGGTACACCCTGTACCCTGAGAAAGGACATAGGCTATTTTTAATGCGAAAAAAGAGTTCCATCATCATTTTTAAAGCTAGTAGCTTGAAAATAATTTTAAGGCTTTTGATTAATAACTTGCTCACTTTATCTCATTTTTCAATCAAAACTGTGATAGAAGGAATTGAGGTACTCATATAGATGAATTTTTATAAAGTATACCTTGTTAAGTCAAGATAAAAAATAAACAATATATATGCTCACCTTAGGTAATAACTTGCTCACATAATATACAAGCACCATGAAGGACGCAAATACTCCAACAAATATACCACAGAGGTAGAAAAACACAGGGTTACCACTTAGTGCTTTTGATGAAAATATTAAACTTATACCAAGGAACATGAGTATAATCCTCCAAATGTCCACTCCTGAAAGTATAATAAAAGAAATTACAAATAAAAAATTAATACACTTATATATAAATTAAAAGTTAAAAATATTTTCATAAATAATTCATAGTTAATAAAAAATACTTAAGAATAAAGCATAAAAAACCAGCGAAAACTATGAAAATAGTGCATATAACAATAATAATAATCTTCTTTATTTGTCTCAAATAATGAAGTATTACAATTGCTGCTTACAATAAAATTTAGAAGGGGGAGCGAGTCCACTCTCTCTGCTATTCTGTTATAGGCTTTATTAGTAAATTAACGCTAAAAAAATCAACGAAATCAAAACTGTCCTATACTAACAATGTAAACATAAAAATTGACAATAAGGTAACAAAATTACAAAAAATAATTACTCATTAAAAATAAAAGTTCGAAAATAACAAAATTAAACAATATAGTAAAACAATTTTAATTAAAAGTTTTTTTAATTAAAATTGCTTAAAATTAGTACTCACTTATTATTTGTAGTTCAATACTATGTCTCTGTTTAGTATTGATTGCCATACATGTAGGTGTAAATAGGTTCAAAGACATTGTCTTCTGGGTCCTTTTCTGGAATGGATTAACCACAGACCATCCATAGCTGTCTTCTGTATACTCCTTGTACACCTCCTCAGGACTACTGCCCACATACTGCCTGAACTCATCATTTTTTATCCTCAAATGAAACTGTAAGGTAATTGTAATTGATGTCATTAAAAAATTGCTTCATTGATGGCCCCTATTCTCTAGCAGTGTAGAATATTGCCTTTCAATTGTCATAGAGTTGATTCCTTGCACAGTACAAATGTTTGTTTTCATAAGTATGAATTAGTCTGGATGTTTTCTATATATATTATGTATGTATTTAGAAAAAAAGCATATTTAAATATTTGTATCAGTTATCCATACATATGAGTTACTATTGGTGAAGATCATTAATTGGCATAGGACAATTCAATTTGTTCAGTAACATGTAAAATTACACTGTTAATCTTCCCAAATTAAATATATAAATAACACAAGATCTGCTTAGCTTGGGACTAAATGACACTGTGTCAAGAGTTCTAGCTATATCTCTGCGCTGTCTACATAACATATAGCATGTTGTAGTATTATAGAATCTTTATTTATAATCAAACTGTAATTATTCCCTATCATTTATTTTACTGGGAATGGTGGCCCCTTCCCTGCCTCACTCACCATACCTTTAACATTAAGAATAAGAATGTGCTTTGTACTTTTGTTTTATATCTTTTCTGTATTTTCTATCATATTAAATGTCTATTACCTGTTTCTAACATGATAAATGCTACTCACCGATAATGCAGCTTTTTATTAATTAAAGTATTTCGAAATAGGTCTTTTTTGAGTCTATCCAATATAAATACTTACAAAAACATTCTTCTTTATAGAATTAGCTGAATTATATTAGGCAAAAGGAAATTATACATTGTTTATGTATAAATTTGGTTATATTAAAAGAACCCAAGGTTGCATTTTTTATGTAGAAATTTCGTTATATTAAAAGAACTCAAGGTTGTTAACATAATCATTGATTATGAATTGTCAAAATTAAACTAAATTATATTACCTTAACAGTTTGCCAGAGAGAAAACAAATTTTTTGAAGTACCAGGATAGCAGTATATATCAACAGTTTGTTTTGAAGTTGGTGCATCCCGCTCAATAACTGTAGCACCTCCAAGCCAATGTACTGAAAATTCGTGTATACATATTTTCACACAACTATTACACAAGAATTTCTTTCTCTTATTCAGTTAGTTGTAGATTTTAGAAGCGAAATAACATTTACTTCACAATAAAACTTTTAGTAATAGAGTAGAGTCAAGGGTAATATATGAATTATTTGATGAAAATGCTGAAGTCAATTTTACTATTCGCTTGGGTATTAAACTAAAATTTATAAAAAATATTATATATATATTAATTATGTAGACAATGAATTAGGTCTTACCGTCATAAGCTAACGAATTGGCGGCAACATATAATGAGGAATATAATAATAATAAAGCCCAAATTATGAAATGCCCGTAAACATCCATAGTAGTCACAGTGACCATTTAGATAATACTATAAAATAAATATCTCGTGTTGCATGTGAGCGTGGTTAATACGCTGAAACATAGTTTTACTTAATAATTTCTTAAGAAGTTTAGTTCTTTCGACACAAAATTAGAGAAAATACACCAAACTACCATAAATGAAGTCAAGCAACAAAATATTATGATATTTTGGATTTGACGTTTTGTGAGAACGTGAGCAAGTGACATTGACATTAACGATCGTTTATAAAGGGAAAGATATAATATCCACACAGCCTAGTCTTCACCAATATACTGTTAATATTTAATAAGAGTTTATTATATATATTAAGTAATATTTAATGTAATAATGAGTAATCGATAATTACAAATAAGTATCATTAAATTAGAATCTTTTATTAGAATTTGGCATGTAATTTTCTATGTTGCTATAAACTTTTATGATTTGTTCATTTTATTCTGTATCATATTGATTACATTAGAGTATTTTTATTAAAAGTGGCATTATTGAAATTTGTTAGAATTTTTAGCATTAAATGGTACTTTAATTCAATGATATAACAATAGAAATAAATAATGATGAAAATAAAATATTACTTTTCATGGTTATTGTAAAGCTACAGTACACCTACGGTATACGGTAATGGAAAAAGATCAATAAAAGTCATCATATATATATTCTCATTTTTTATTTGGTTAAGCATAAACATACGCAAATACAATGTTCATGTACGTAGACTGCTTCAAACAATAAGGCACTTACTCACTACACTATGTACAATAAAGTCTTTCGTCTGTTTAATATAATACTAATAGAATTTTAGTATTGAATGATATTAAGACAAGGCACAAATTCTCTTCTATATTACAAAGTAATTTAATTTTTTGATACGTTATAATGATGTCAATAACTTCATACAAAAAAGGAATGTACATAAAAATTGTTCATTTATGTGTAATTACTTTGCGCAAATTAACTTAATTCTCATATCTATCACAATATTATTTCCAGCACTAGTGTGCTACAAAGTGGCAATGATGTTCTTCGGTTTTAGAATGTCCTTATTGCCAATTATGAAATAATTCAAAATTGAAAAATATATATAATATTGAATACACAGTAACTAAATATAACATAATAAATTTTAGTATTTATTATGTGCCATCTCACATCAGTGAACACTAGTTTTGTTTTATTTAGTTGCTGTAAATAAGACATGAAATACACTATGTTTATTTTAAATATATATGTCGTAAGGTTAATAAAAAAATTACACTACATGGGAAGTTCACTTCAAATAGAATACCAAAATATATATTTTATTAAATTGTTTTAATATTAAAAAAAAAGTGTACTTCATTTAATGTAAATAACTTTGTATAAATCTACTGTCACCACTTGTAAACGTGTTTTTTCATAATTATTTTTTTTAAATACATAAGGCATCGACGAAAGACTTATGGTGCTGTACAACACTTGTACTTAATTATATGGATGGCTTGTATATTACATAGTAGAATATAAAAATATATCGAAAAATGGAAACATAATATAGGAATGTTCGCTGTCCAATACTGTCAAGTAATCATTATACTTAGTGAAAGAGTCAGTGGAAAAGAGTGTTATTATCCAGTCTCGATAATTACGAAAGGAATGCTCAAATAAATACTTTTAAAAGTACATTTTTTATCTGTCTATTTTATGTACTTTTACATCACAGTTTTTTTTCCACCAAAAATATAGTTCATATAACTAGCCTTATCTAAGACATATAATATGTGTATAAAAACAAAATATTTAACATAATTATTTTATATACTATTAGATTTATTATATATTTAATGCATCCAGCACCCAACCTGATATTGTACTTCTCTTTTCGGGTATCACTAATATACTTCATAAGAACTTAAAAATCATATATAAAATTTTCTAAAAAACCATCGCGAGTTACATTAGAATTTTCTAGTAAGCTGCCTACAAAAGTATATTTTTAATACAATTGACATTTTATTGCAAATAAGCTTTAGTATTTTCTATAAAACAACAATAAAGTGTAAAACATGCTTATTTGCTTACTCAACATGCGTACATCGTTTTTTTATTATATTATAATACGAAAGGCACAATCCGAACTTACACAACGTTCAAATTTTTATCACACCATTCTATTACGGTACAGAAATGTTTAAAATTACACATAAATCTATTCAGTAATATATTAGAATTTTTAATAATGAAACCTTTTTCCTAATAGTTAATAATTTAGACATTTCAAAAGAAAATTTACCATAAATAAACAAAAAAATAATAAATGCCAATTCAGGTCATTGTTTACAGAGTAATGATAGTTTGAAAATTAACTTCTGTATTTGGCGCACTTTCGTTTAGAATTTATTTTTATATTATCTGTGGATTATCTTCTATGTTGTTTAGCTATTTGTTGATTACTATATATATATATATTGCACTAATTCGCCTAGGAACTTGTGAAAGGCACATTGAAAGCACTAGTTCCCTATTAATAATTATTATTTTATAAATAAAATGTGTTATTTAATTCCTAAGTTTCCATAAGTCAAGTCGACAAAGAGTTACATCAAACTGTTTATCGACGAATACTGACCGTACCACGATACATTCAGTTTGTTTATATCACGCATCTTCTTTATTTTCAGGAATGTTAGGTACCTGTGGACAGATAAAATTTTTATAAATGCCATCATATGTTGCTATTTGTAAAAATTAACATTTTTAAATAGCCTGTATTAATAAATGCTGATTATATCTTTTAAGTAGAGAGAATCTTCGACTCCCCGATTCCAGTCTGAGTTATGTGGCCAGATCATTTCTATGTATATTTATTCTAGACTGGTAGCTTCTTCTGTAGGATTCTATTTTCTGTTCCTTTTTTAATAGGTGAAAATGGAATGAAATGTCATTTTTAAATATGAATATGGAATGGTGCTCCGTTATCATCCATAAAATAAAATATTTTTGTTAATGTGAGGAATCAAATGAATGAGGAATTAAGAATTTTACCAGCGAGGCCGGCTAACGTTTCCGTAAATCCGGCGGCAGGTAGGTGGCTCCGCCGTGCCGCGACCACTCCCTCTCGAACTCGTGCTCGAGGATCTCCGCGCCGCGCTTCCTCGTGAGGCCCGTCTCCTCTAGGCTCAGCTCGCACATCTGCATGTCGTCCACGCCTGCACAGTAACAATAATTTCAGTTACTGCTGTTACAGTAACTGTAGGAGAAGGAAGGAGAACTTAATGTGAAGGTCTACTTCAAACATTCTAAAATTTGGCTTATCCCGTTGTTATAACTAGGCATATTTCGAAGATTATAAAATTTAATTGGGTTGACATTAAAATCTTACGCGTAACATGGTGGTCCGTACTGTTATAAGTAAAATAAAATGAGGGATAGAAATTAACGTGATCTAATCTGTGCTAATATATATCAACAAGAAACATTTTACAAAATTGATATATATGCTAACTTTATACTAACTAATAATATCTATGATTAGGTTTTAAGTTATGGATGTACTCTATCTGTGCCCGCGGTTTCACTCTTAAATTTATAGCCTAGTTTATTCTGATGTATAAGCTATATTACTATAAAGTTTCAAGGTCAAAATCCGTTCAGTAGAATTTGCGTGAAAGAGTACCAAACATCCATATTAACAAACTTTCGCGTTTATAATATTATTAAGATATGATTTCCTTGTGGATGATAATGGTTTTGGTTTTAATGTGGTAATCAGTGCTTATTTCAAAGAGTATAGGGTTTATTTCAGGTAATCATTGAAGCATGCGCGTGGGTGGTAGTGTACGTACCGGCCTGCAGCAGCACTGGCGTCTTGTCGGGGTGCAGCTCCATCTGGCGCGCGACGTACTGTCCGTCGAAGTGCGCGTACCACCAGCCGCGGCGGTCGGCCTCCACGGGGTCGCCGCCGCCGGCGGGCCGCACGAACGGGATGCGGAAGTAGCGGTGCCGCGCGCCCAGGATCTCGCCCTTCTGCGTCACGCGAGGCGTCTTGGCGGCTAAATAAAAAAAAATTGATGTAAGCTGTACGCACATTTAATTAACAATAGCTAGCGGGGCTTCTTAACGACTATATAAAAAACAAAAAATATTGGTTGTGATCTGTATGTACGATTAACAATCGTTTCACGCAGCAAATAATGTGCATATAAACAAAGAGAACGAAAAAGACCGCACGGTCAGTCAGTGAGCGCATTCCCATGTTCTACAATCGTGCGTGTTTTAACGCCTTTTAATAATTATTAATTATTATTACAAAACGGAGAACATCTAACTATAGAAATACAAATACATAATTATAAAGTTATTGATAATATATAAATTTCAATCGTACCTTTGTATAAAACATTAAAGTTTGCTTCTTAACTAAAATATAGTTTTGTCAAATAATAATAATAATAAGGGGAAAGGATTGCAACTAGCAATGTGGACTGTTGACCCCAATTGCTAGCAATGTACCATATCCGGTTGATATCCACGGGGTTCCCCCTGGAAATTACCTCATAATAAATTCCTGGCGAATTTATCACGATTGACTAACTGACATGACCTCACGTTCATTATGTAATCCTCCACTGGAGTCCCGCCAGCGTTATACCATTAGCATAGGCGAGTTCATCATTCCATACTCATAATAAAAACATCATGTGAATTTTATGTTAATTTCAAAGAACACGTACCAGCTTCCATGATGGACTGTGGCGCCCTCTCTTGTTCAGCCATTGTAGTTTTGCGGGCGTTCTTTGCCTTCCACGCATGATATACCTTCAGACGACGATGGAACTCATGGCGGCATGCCTGAATTGTATCAGTTGATTATTTAACATTAGCTAAAGGCACTACAATAAACACCATTAGCATTATATTAGCATTAATCTTGATTTCAATAAATTTTATTTTATACAAATTATAATGTTGTATGTTGGATAAACATTCATAAGATTATAGTTATAGGCCTATAGTTCGTTAATAAATCCGTCATTTCCGAGGCGTGCAACCACCAGATAGCCTTTGTTAATTGACAGACTACTAATACGAAAAATTTTTTTAAATAATTTTGCTGTTATGTTTTTAAATTCAAATAACTACAAAAACAGTATCTAACAAAATTATTAAAACAGTTAAATATTTATATTGGTGTATACTGTTTATATATGTAATATGTTATGTTATTCATTATTATTAATTTGTCATTATTATTATGTTTTTTTTTCTCTTCTATTCTAGTGCCACCTCCCACCTATTGTCTTTTCTCCTCTATCTAAAGGTTGCCTGGAAGAGATTGCATAAGCGATAAGGCCGCCTTTTGTACCCTTTAATTTTAATTACTCTATTAATGTAATTTTCCTGGTGCAATAAAGAGTATATAAATAAAAATAAATATTTACAAAGATTTAAACATGGCCAAATGTCAAGTGCGTTCATCACGACGTTTGTGACAGTTGGTCAATATTTTAAGATATTCAAGGGCGTTTTGAGCAGCTGAAGATTGAACAGGTTTGACAAAGCCTTTGACTATCCCATCTAAGATAACAGCATTTCAGTCAGTTACATTTAACAATGCTCACTATTATTTCTATACCTTAGTACTTCATCAAAGACCTAGCGTGAAGTTAACTATAAAGAAATTGCAATAAAAAAAAAACATATTTATCTCACCTCCAAAAGTTCGATGTCGCACGAAGTGTTAATAGTGTCACGTAACTCTGAATATTTCCATTTCGATAGGTCGTACTTCTGCTTGCCTTGTATGGCCTGCTGCATTCTGACTCTCTCTGACCTGATATACATTAGCTATAGTCAGTAATCGTAGACTTTTATTATTATTTTAATAACACAAGTGAACAGAACCTATTACTGTTATTATTGCATGCTAACGCACGAATAACATTTACTGTGCTGACAACTATGTAATTTTAACAAATCAGGATGATAATGGTATGGTGCACCTGCCTGCGCTGGGGATATACGGTGGCGGGGCATCAGTAAAGTATGATAAGATGAGGGTGAAGTTAGGTTAGTTAATCCATTAGTTATTTAGACGGCAACTGACTTCATGCTCATCCCATTATCCTTGACCGGTGTTCCCCAGCGCTAACCGTATTTAATATAGGTACGGTTAGCGCATGCGGGTGCCCATACATTTATCATCCACTAAGAAATTGACAAATGCTTTTATACTATTCTCTGTGCCCATTTCATTATCGCCATTTTCACTTAAGAACTAAGTTTTAAAGTTTTGTAAAGATCATAAAGTTACGTCCCATTTTTTGGAATTGAATACAACCTGTCTTTCTTTCTTTCTTTCTTTCTTAATTCCCATCAATTGTCGTAACTAAGCTAATTCTCCTTTTATGCATGTAACTTACATAAAATATATAGTTATATTTATTTATTTAAAAACTTTAATATCCTAATAAACGTGGTAATAAAAGAAGGTTTAATATTAAAAGCTACTATTAAATATGTTATAGGACTCTATTAAAATGGCAACAAATCAATTAGGCACACAAAATGAAGAGTTGTATGGGACAGACAGTCAGGAAATTGACAAAATTAACAAATGTCACTCGTGCGTGCTAGTACTACATAATTATAAAATATTATTGAGGTTAAAAACACAAATTAACACATATATAAATAATATGAAAGTGCAAAATTTATTGTAATTCTATATTTACGATAAATTATAGACTGTCTGTAATAATAATCAGTTGATTTGTAATTGATAGAACACATTTATTTGCGGTCTCATCATGCACGTATATTCTTATTTCTTTTCTTTTTCTTCTTTTACCTAAATATACTATGCAAATCATTATAATAATATACTATATATTTCACATAGAATTAATATATTAATTGTAAATAAATTAATCATAAAATACTTCTGAAATAATGATATAATAGTATATTACAATATAAGTGCGATATATAATATAACACACAAGACATAATTTCAGCCCCAGACGAAGGCAAGGGTGTAATTGAGTCGAATGTGTTCAATACGCACACGCACGTCTATCGTATGACATTTTTCAACACAATTTTAAATAAATTCAACCGTAAAATTGTGATGCAAACTGTTGCTTTCCCGCCGTTTTGCTTTTTTTAAACCAGAGCGCTGCTTACTGGATGGCAGCACGCGGAGGTCGATTGGAAATTTTATATAAAAAAATAGCAAAAAGCGGTTATGGAATATATCTTCACTACTTACGTTATAAACATAACGCACACGTGCTTTATATCGAAATCGGTGAAATCTACTTTACGAACAAGTGTGTTGAAAAACATATTATTTACTGAGAAAATCAAATACCTTATTATTAATATTAGGCCAGATTAAATAGATTAATAACTATTTTACACGCATAAAGAAAGTTTTCAATGGTGACCTTTTTCAATATTTGTGATATCATGTAAAAAGACGACAACTAGTTATTTTGTTATTTTCCTAGCTAAAAATATAACAGTTTATGAATATATTAATAAATTAGAGTAACAAAACACAATATTACGAGACCAACTACACAAATCCGTGCAAAAGAAGTAAGCCCAGCATCAGTGTTAGCAGTTAGCACATTAGTAGGTATTAAATCCTCTATCAATAACTTATAAGGTAGGGACGAATACATGTTTATTCATATACAAACAAATTTAGTTCAACATTGAAACTAGGAGACATAAAATTATTGTTTTAAGCGCTTTATAGCATGGTATGGACGATACAGACGAAACATAGCGATATCATATTAATCAATATTATTATTAGTGATAGCTGACTCAACAATGACTTATGGAAATGTCAAAATGACTGTAAAAAGTCCTTAACAATATTACATTGTATAAAGCCTATTGAACCGCAGAGCGGTTGCTTTGTTGCTGTATTTCGGTTGTAGGGTGCGAGGTAGTAATGAAATTTGAGGATACGTACGTAATAGAGGTAAATCTTATTCCTGAATGGCAACATAAATGATAGGATCGCAAAATAAAAAAATAATGATGACTTAAAAATTTTGAATTTATCGTGACATTGTATTTCCATATAGGAGTAATTTTATTTCTTTCTCTCGTGGACAAAGAAAATTCAGAGTTTCGTGATATTTATATAATAAAATAATTTAATTTAACGGAATAATAATTATTATAAAACTGAGCTACAGTGTACAGTATAAGTTACTTGTTTTTTATTAATATAAAATACTAGTTAGTCAAAAAATATATATAACTATATTTTCTTAACGCTACATTATTCGTTATTGAAAGAGGTTATAGTATAAAAAAAGGCAGTGCGCGAAAGAGAAAACGTTAGTCTATCTCACTGGGTACCTGTTCAATTTATTCTCTCCGTTCATTGAGTCCATTGTGGGGAAACTGTGCAAACATACCACAATATTACTCAACGCAGCTATCACAAGCTATGTACAGGAAGGTATTCGCAGACCCGAGGTGCGAAGACTTGTTTTACAGTGATATTCTTTTTGTAGAAATAATAATCAAATAATATAGAACGAGATCTTGGTATGTGAAACCAAATTTTACTAAAGAAACCTGAATACAACTTCAATTTGAAAGCTTTTCATTCAAGGTAAGATGTATGAAACTTTAGAAGTAAATACTTTAATTTACCATAAAATTGTTCGTGTTAAAACGCGTTTAAACATATTAAAACTATTAATAAGATTTAGCTTTACATACCAAGAGCTTGATTTTGTTTCATTGTGCAAATAGACTGGGAAATTCATAATATACAAACTGATTCGGTAGAGACGGGAGCACAGACATAGATTTGATATAAACACCGTAACTGGAATTATTTTGCCAAAAGTAAGCAATAAGTAAATAAATTTTATCCTGTCTTTGGATTGAAGTTTGGACTTGGAAGTTATTACATGAAATAAGCTTAGCGACAGTAACAATTACAAATGAAGTGTTGGTTATAACTTTTAGAATAGATTAAAAGTAGTTCTTTATTGCAAATATTTTAATAGTCCTATTCTATTGTCTGAAATACCAATGAGATCAATATGATCTCATTGGTATCATCATATATGTAAAATTGTTATACTAACATTCTATAAATTTATTACATTCATTCATCATTTTATTACATTATATTTTTTACCACTTACCTAGGAATTACGTCAAAAAAAGGTGTGACATCAGAATCACATGCCAGATACCGTGCAGGTGTTTTTACAAGGAATTTAAAATTTATATTGGAAATATATTCTTCCTTTCGACATTAGCCTAAATAATAAGATATTTTTTATAGATAATTAGCTTATGTGAAATGAAAGTTTAAAGGAAATATATGGAATGTTTAGTTTTCATTCACATTATTTAGTGTTTATCTCCATCAATGTCTGTGACTATTTTTTTTATTATATTATCGTTTTGATAATTACGACATCTTTGATTAAAGAAATATATACATAAATATATGTAACGACCGGCTAGAACAGTCCATTTTTGTGCTTTAGGCTCTTTGGAATAAGAATTATTATTGATAATTGGCGTTTTCAGTTTATGGTATAATAGTGATTTAAGCATAGAAATGTATTTAATGAAACTGTAAAAAACATACCTTCTTAATTGTGGTGGGGACCCCTCAACGTGTCCATTTGTTTCTTTTGCAAGTCTGACGGCCATCTCGTGGTCTCTCCTTTCTTGTTCTAACCTGTTAATAATATATATTTATCCTCTTGCTGACAAAAATGTCAAATATTGCCTTATCCTTATTTTACAATTATATACATATATTTGACGGCCTTTGCCTTGGCGGTGATCTAGTGGTTTAACACCACTGATCGCGGGTTCGATTCCTCGCACGTTACAAATATTTGTATTCACAAGTATGATCGTATATATTGGCATGGGTATAAATTATAATATTTTGACAGCAAATGCCCTGTATATCCATTTCAGATAATGAACTGTTATTGAACTTTTCTTTCAAACTACCTTCATTAATAAAACAAGTGATACCTCTCATTATTAAATTTGTGTTAGTATTCTATGAATAAGGTTCATTTAAATATAAATTATAATGCTTAATTTATATAATATGTATGAATATGTATCTATACATATATATATATATATGTATATTCTTTTCTTTATTGAAATGTTTTATCCATCCATCTTCGCCCTTACCTCTCTCGGTCCTCCTGCTCCGCGCGGGCAGCTTCCTCTAGCTGCTTTTGCATCTTCTGTGCGGAGAGCCTGTCCTGCTCCTCTTGACGTAGACGCTCCAACTCCTCAGCTTTTCTGCGCGTCTCCATTTCTACTTTACTGTAATCAAATACATATATGATGCTGATAATTAAGGGCGGGTTTATATGAAACACTTTTTATTGTTTTAAACTAAACTTTTTATTAAACAAAAAAGCCGAATCGGGCGCGAATGAGCTTACGTGTAGGTGCGTTCTTTCTATCTCGTCTATTATATTTTGTCACACGACTTACTCATATACTTTTAAGTTGTAAAAACAAATTACTAGTTTAGTTTAAACATGTATTTGTAAATATATACATAGAAATATACCCATAACCATATATGAATCATTTGTTGGCAATAAAATCGCGATTATTGAAAAATAAAACGTGACGTAAATTGCTAACGGCGTCTAACTATTACTATATACTGTGTACTTATGTATTTAGTAAGACTTACAGTCTGCGATTCTCCTCTTCCTGTTTGATTTTCTCCAGCTCTTGGCGCTTCTGTTCTTCAGCTGCTCGAATCTCCGCTTCAATTTTGCGCAATCTTTCCTGTTCCTCTCTGTAATATAGATTATTTATTTAATTAATCAAATTATTAATACAAAGTATTATCTCATTCATATATTTTACAGAGATAGACTGTAGAAATTCTATTTATTCTACAGCTATTTCAGTCAGTGTTAAGCAACTTGCTTTGTAATTTGTTTTGGTTGTAGGGTGAGATTAGGCAATAAAATTACAGAACAGGAGCTATGATATCTTATTACTCCGGAATGGCAACTGAATGGTATACCGGGTGCTGTTTATGTATATTGGCGATGGTTACCAGTTATGATATATTTGCCATTCCAATAATATATAAGGCGGTGCTAAACTGATACATGTACGTATACAAAGCTGTCTAAATAGATGCAATACAACGAAATATAGTTCAATGATCACTCTATATTGACATTGATTTTTACTGTTAATAGTCATTAAATAATTATATAAGGTTTTTGATAAAATATTAAGTTATTTTAATGACGAGAGAGAATTTAGAAAAAAATATGAGAAAAAATATATGACATGCACTCGTAAGTGATTCCCGTACATTTTGGGGCGGAGCGCGAAGCACCGACTCTTAGCAATTATAACTATATTTATACTCTTTGTATACTCCTCCGAAACGGCTTGATAGATCGAGAACAAAATTACATCGAAGACCGACCCTAGAGCCTCCATTGTTTACCACTAAAAAAAAAATCCGATCGGCTAACGTTGTGTTTTTAAGAATAAACAACTTTACAATTACTCCGTTCAACATTACATGGTGTGTAAACAACACACCGGTACAAACCTAGTAAATTGGGGGGAAGGGGATTGGTAGTAATGTGGACTCATGACCCCATTACTAGCAATGTACCATGTCAGGTTGACATCCACGCGGTTCCCCCTGGAAACTGGAATCGTGATGAATTCCTGGTGAATTTGTCACGACGGGTCAACTGACCTGACCTCATGCTCATCCTATCATCCTCTACTGGTGCCCCGCTAGCGTAAACCGTTAGCGCAGGGGTGCATCATTCCAATGTCCACTAAAAAAACCTAGTAAATTATGGAAATAACTAATATTACCTGTTCTTCTGATCAACCATGGCTTTTTGCAGAGCCGCCATTTGCGCTTCAACATCTTTGGTCAACTTTGTGTATATCTGGTCCACTTCACTACGCGATATTTTTTCATTACTCTGTAAATAAAACGTATATTAATGTTTATGATTACTAATATCTAGTTTAGTATGCAGAACGTTAGAAACGGCAACTCCAGATGAAGTAATTACATATGAAAACTAATACAGGTTTAATTTTTATCAATGCAATAATGTTCTGAACCTCCGATGGATTCCCCGTCCAATTCAACGGGGATCGATGTTAAGACGGCTTGAGTCGAGGTTCGAACCCCTAGTGGTTCCCTCAGATAATAAATGTGGCGAAATATAGTAATGCATGTCAACTAAGTGTAATGCAGATGAAGTTGCGCTGTCCCTTCCGATCGATCCCCCATCCAATTCAAACGGGGATAGAAATTACGACGGCCTGAGCCGAGGTTCGAACCCCTAGTGGTGCCCTCAGACTAAAGTCGTATCCGTCAGGCAGGAATTGGCCTTCAGCCGCTCCATAAGTCCTACCTTTGGTTTGAAGTGCCATCTGCACTCGCCACCTATCGTCCGGTGAAGCTGTAAAGGCCAGCTTAACCTTGCGGCCAACAGCATTAGAGTACTCCGAAAATAAAGTAGGTTTTATTTTATTGTTTCATATATTTTCATTTGGCATTTACACAGATTAATAAATAATTAAATTCGACTATATGTCATGAAGTAATTTAATGTATGTATTACATTTTTAAAGTATTTACGAATATCGCAATGAACATACATAGTGTTTTTGATGTTCGTAATCTATACATATAACAAATATGTACATTTATTTCTGTACATTGATATTATAATACGAGAAAAGCTATTATTCACTTCTTAACATAATGAAGTCATAACAATGATTGTTAGATTATTTGTCCATGTGTTTGTAGCTCACACAAAATGTCAGATATTTATTATTAAATAATATAATCTCAGAAACAGGTTTTCTGATTTAGATGAGAATTTTACAATTACATTGTGGAAAGTTTCATTAAAAATTTAATAGAATAGAATAGAATAAAAATAATAGAAAATAATTTATTCAAATAAAATTACATTGCTTCAATGACTTTTGAATAGTCATTACATTTTTTTAATCTCCCGCTCATTCGGAAAGCTGTCTCATCACAAGAAGAACAAGCAAGAAACTTGCGTGTTGCTCTTTTAAATAATTTTATTATTACTTTACATTTTTAAGTTTGTGTGAATACAAAACACCAATTAGCACTAATTCAATTAAATACTAAATAGAAAAATATTTAAAATATAACCAACTGGTTAAACAATTAATAAGAGGAAATCAGTCATAGTGATTAATAATTTTTTTATTGCAGGATTACATATAAAAAAGTGATATACTATTATTATTAATATTAAATATCGCAGCATTAGAGTGAGTAGTTGCAAATTCAGCTAGTAAATAAATAAATGTAACAAACTCACCTTAATGGTAACACATGCACTGTTTATAGCAGTCCTCAAATTCTCTATATTTTTCTGCGCGCTTTCTTTCTCTTTCTTCAGTTGTGCTGTGGTCGTCTCCATGTCCTTTAGGTTGGCATTGAGCGCCTTTATCTTCATGATGGCCTGGTACCGAGGTCTGTGCTGCTTACGGACTAAATGTCCTCGAATCGTCTTCTGGATCGTGATGAGGCACTGGCGGCGGTACAGTATCTTGTTCTTCACTGGAATATACAAAAAGATTTGTAAAATAATAATAAAAACAATACTCTTTATCGTGCACAGAAAACAAATACAAAGAAAATAAACAGTAACTAGGAAAATACGTAACAAAAGGACAGATTTTTTATTTTTTTTATTGGGTTGTTTAGGCTATTGTCAGATGTTTGTAGCACCTGTAGCACTGCGACCTACATAGATCTATTGTGCTCGCCCTTTTTCAAAGTTCGCTACCTAGACCCGCCAGGGACAAGAATTGAAGGATATTCTTAGGAGCGATGATTTTTATCGTTAAAGGACAGTTAGATCTAAAAGCGATCTTTTACAGACAAAATGTATATATATATATAGATTAAGGCGAGCAATTTAGCCCGGGAAAGCCAACACGCATATTCGCGAGTGATTACCGTTTTTTGTGTTCACTGTTTTGCACAAATGTTTCATGTATTTTATTTTCTAAAGACACGTTTAATATTGATAAATTATCAATAATTGTACCATTCTGTTATTGCTCCATAGTCAGATGGCCGCCATTTTGCAATGATAATTCATTATTTAATAAAGGCGCATTATTGAAAAACGTGGGAATGCGTTCTCGGTTTCGGGGTCTTGTTTGCTACTAGAGTTCAATAGAAATAATTAGACTGTTAGATACTTACGCTTGATAATAGACAATACGGCGAATATAGAACGCCGCCATCTCGACTTTATGATCCACTTCAGAACCCTCTCTACTATTTTCTTCAAGTTTTCAGGTTCAGATCTCATGATGGTGTCAAACTCTGAGTATTTCCCAGGTCGGAAGAACACGCGCGTTATTCCAAACTTGTAGTCTTTATCAGAGAGGCCTAAACTGTGTACGATCGCCTGTTTGGATGTAATAATATGGTGAATTAATGAACCCAAGACCAATAATCAAAGACAATTCACACAATGACATCTAGACACTATAGATACTAAAGAACTGATAACCTCGAAACATAGAATGAAAGTAGAGAATAAGAGGCATGGCATCTTAGTTTTTTGGAATAGCAAAGCATGAGTGGTACACCATAACGATGTCTATAGTGCTGTCCATGTACCTATATAGGTGACAGCTACCACTTGTCATTCATTCACCGTTTCGATTGCATAGTAATAATCTAAAATCATTTGAACAGCGTGCTGTGATTGTACTACTGGTAATAAACAATTGACAGAATTTTTTTTTTATAAATTCTTATATAATATATGCAGAAAATACGTGGACTAATACAAATAGTTTTACACATGAATATAAGCACTTGTATTGTGCGAGGAATCGAAACCGTGATCACTAGAATGAAGGTGGCATGTTATACCGCTTAACCACTAATGTTTAATTAGTTCGTTCTTTATTGTCCTCCTTATGATTAGAGCTTCTTGTAATTTGTCTCCATCTATCGGAGGCTAAAAATTTAAAGAAAATAGTATAGAGGGTATTGAGTAGCTCTTCTCGATGATGATGTATTTCAGTACCCCCTACTATTTTCTTCACGTTTTCAAGCTTCGATGTAATGATGGTAGTACGAATTTTCGCTTTACAATGAACTGCTGTGAAGTCGTTATGATGTTAGTTTTTTAGGTATTTTAGTTTTTTTTTTAATTATAATATTAATATAATAACCTTAGAACAGTTCATACAGCGCTATCTAGACCCTAGCTAAAGCTTGTAATATGCGTACTAGACGACTGATACAAATACATAGATATTTTTTTATAAATACATACATATTGTAGAGAGAAACCATCCAGATCGATACATGAATACAAATGTTCTTCGTGCCGTGCGAGGAATCGAACCCGCGACCGTCCGACGTAAAGGCATGCTAGCCCGCTAGACCGGCGAAGTCGTAAAAAATATGTTCAGTACGCAGAGCAAAAGCGCGTCACCTCGCTGAAGAGCTTGGGCTGCAGCGCGGCGAGGCGCGGCGGCAGGTGCGGCGCGTACACGCGGTGCAGGTGCGCGAACGGCGCGCGCGACGGGTACCCGTGCTCCATCAGCAGCAGCACCGCCGCCGTGCCCGAGCACTGCAGCTGCGCCAGCACCAGCGCGCCCTCCGCCGCGCGACGGCACATCGCTGAGTTCGGCTTGATGCACCGCACGAAGTTCGTGCCCTGCCACACCACCACCACGCCCTGTCACTACTGCTCACACAAACCACCGCCCGAGCCGAGAATCGAAACATAGGGGTCGCCCTAGGTGGTGCCTCCTCAAAAACTGTGCCGTGCTATGGCCCGGCGGGCAGACTACTGATGAATACATGTATGTTGGCCCTGACTCTTGTCGAAGCACAAGGCTCGGTGCCTTTAGCACCGCTTGCGCCCGGCGAGAAGGCGATACACAATCGTGGCTTTTATGTGGGAGATGAAAGGTGTACTCTTCACCCGAAGCCCCCTTTTAGACACTCAGAATTAAGAACTTAGAAACATCCTAAGCTCCTGAAGGAGATTATTGTATGGAGTTTGACCGCGAAGTAATACACTTGAGATACACCTTCATTATACACTTTCATTAGACAGCAGCAAATAATGGCAATTTGTGAGGAATATTATCCCAACTAGAAAGAAGCTAAAGTAATCTTACTCCACAAAATACGAGCACCCTACAAGTTCACTACGGCATTCCACCCAATCGTACTGTTGGACGAGATCAACCAGCTCCTAAAAAGACTCGTCCAACATCTGTCCGAAGTTGGTCCTGATGTCAACCCGCTTCCAGATACCGGAAGAGGAGGTCCACAACCAATGCAATATCACATGTGCGCCCTTTTCTGTGACGACATTTCGAGAAAGGGAACACTAGCGTTTTTATTGTCTGTAGACAATAAAAACGCTTACTAAATCTAATCCATACGAAATAAATCAAATTTTTCTTAAAAATTATTAACTTACGTTCTGTTTAAGCTTCTCCATAAGCTGCGACAATTGACTTTGGAACTTCGCACCAACAGATATAAAGTTCAATTTGCCTTTAGCGTTGTTGTTGTCTACATTCTGGAACAACTGTTTCACTAGCGGAGAATTCGATTCTTGTATCAGGAACTCGAGCGATGCATGAAGTGCGTCGTTATTTTTCTCTATAAATTGATTCTGAAATTCAAATAAAATGGAATATATTAATACTAATAGAGCTTGCTTGCTTTAAATGATAAGGTCACCTTTTTGAAGTACATTTACCAAATATTCTTTTTATAAATATTTATGCAGTGAACAATAATTTTTAAAAAATATTGTTTTGGAGATACTATTTGAAAACCAAAGCGGCTGTTGACAGTCCTTCAATAATAGTTTCTTTCATATTACTTTAACGAACAGAGAGCGACAGTTTACATTTTTATTATATGTACATATAAGCGAGTGTAATTACCGTGTTATAACAGACGGCGCCTGCGAAGTGCCTGAGCAGGAATCCTTCGTCATCACGCAACGTGCGGTGGGCCTTAAGCCTGGATGAGCGCGGCAATTGCAGTCTGACAAGAATCATATTAATTAAATAAAATAAAATTGTAAATTTAATATAATAATTAACTTAGAAATTATAATTAATTAATATTGTATAACTGGCCTTAAATCTTATTAATATGGATGGATGTTTGTTTTGTTGGTTTCATCCGCGTAAAATTTATAGCCTATATATATATATATATTCTGATGTATAAGCTATATAAAGTAGCTAAGTAAAGTTTAATTAAAATCCGTGTAGTAGTTTTTGCGTGAAAGAGTAACAAACATCCATTGATACTCACAAACTTACGCGTTTATAATATTAGTGGGATGTATTTATAAAAAATCTATTTTAATGTTTGTATCAGTCCTATAGTAAACAAGTTTCTGGTTCATTCTTATTGTGATGGGAATGCGTTCCGAATGAGTTTATTTTAATAAACAGTTACACTATTTGTGTTTTTAAAGCACGCGTGTTTTCTGAGCATTTTTTTATACTGCAATGCCGGCAAACTGCTTTATATATTGAAACCAGTGAAATTAGATCCACTTAACGAGCATGTGTGTTTAAAAAAATATAATAGGCATGTATCATTTGATTATATAATTACCTGGGATTGTTGGTGCCCAATTCTTTATGGACAGAGTGCGTGAAATGTCCAAACTCTGGCTTCGGTAATTTAGATTCCTCATCCAATAGATGGAATATACCATGGTTCTTACTCTCGATCAAATCTGTAGACAATGTTTTAATATATAATCATATCTGTTAAGGTTTATTATTACGGATGATATCTGAATAACAATATGGATGAGACAGAGGTAACTGTTGCGGGTGAGTGATACTATATTGTCGGTGGAGTCGATGTATATTTCAGATGATAATAAACTGACAATATGTACATAGAAATATTGATCTTATATACTAAATAACAATAGGAAAATGTAAGGTGGGGTGACACAGTTTAGACACAGCAGTGCATAGACAATATTGAATTTGTCTTACTAGGCATTATTTATTTATTTATTTATTTAATTTTAATTCGGATTACATCCATATTGTGTTAGTAAAAACTTATAAAACTATGTTAGTAACTTATAATATACATATACGTAGATATATTTAATTCATATATCTGTGTCCACGTCCAGAAGCACTGGGTCCACAATGCAACGTTATCCAGTGCCTCTGGAGCGGACAATCAGGTATATTCGCAACAGTTTTTAGGATGCTGTTTGAACTTCCTAAAAACTTATTAAATGCAATTATTATTTTGATGTATCTAGGTGACTGTGTCCCATAGTACCCATACATACAAGATCGTATTAAGTTTTATTCTGGCAGCTGTTAGGTGCCATATTTTTATTTCATAGTGTGTCGATGGTCTAGCAGTTGAGCACGCTGCTTTACACTATTTTGTTGTAGTATTATTTTTATATGTATATAGATAAATAGAAAATAAAATAAAAATACAAGAAATTCAGATATTTTAAAATGTGAATTGAATTGTGTTAATTGTCAAGAAGTTGAAGTATAAACATCTCGATATTCCTAGTATAACACAACCTCTGCTTAGCTTGGAACTAGATGGCGCTGTGGGAATTATCCTCCGTTATTGTTATTATCATCAGATGGGTCAATGGCTAATCAAAGATAATTGGTAGTACTAAAATTCTTCCCACCTATACAATCTTGGTTGTCCACAAATCTGATCTCGGGCACGTTGAGTCCTTCTTTCTTGTACAACTCTTGTTCATTCTTCAGAATGCGCTCGTTAAAGAACTGCTGGAGTTTCTCGTTACAATAATTAATGCAGAACTGCTCGAAACTGTTCATTTGGAAGTACTCTGAAAATTTAAAAATATAGGTATCTAGCCATTACATTACACTTGACATTCATCACTATATTTCGCCAAACTTATATATCTTTTTAAAGTTTCATCAATCATCGAATCAGTAATTTTTATATGAAAATTTTTTGCCCTTTTTGAACAAAATAAAATTCAGATTAAATTTTGAATTGCCGTCAAAATAAGAGAAAAAGCCTAGAATTAAATGTTATTCTCCAATTAAAAAAAAAACGAGCTATGGATGGTATTTTAAAATGTTTTCAATTAGGCGTCCAAGCGGCCAGTAATCAAAAATAAACTCCTACATGTGCAAGACTCACTTGTAATTAAAAGTAAGATATGTTTTATATTATATGCATTTAATGAGTTTTTTATTTGAGTGGCTATATATATTGTTGCATGATTATTAATTATTGAATATATATATTTTTACGAACATTTGTATGTAAGTAATACTTTCTTTATTCACAAGAAGTGTTTCTAATTATATGACCATCACTGTATATAAGCCTTACTTACCGAAGCCGGCGATATCAAGCACGCCGATATAGTAGGCGGAAGCCTGGAATGGTATGCTGAGATTGATACGGTTGACGATATAGTCGAACAGGCGGCTGTACACCGACTTCGCAAGTGCGTCACGAGCGTTTGTTGCTTCATACGTCTTCAGTGGGACCCTGCAAACACAAACATTATAATATATTATTATTTTGTATTCACATATTTCAACTTCATTACTAATTAATTATTTAATTGAGCAACAGCCGTTACTTGATCGTTATTCTTGTGATGACACAGATTTCCGAATGAGCGGTAGATTAAAAAAAGTGATGACTATTTAAAAGTGCTTCAATGTAAGTTTATTTTAATGAAATATTTTCTATTAAACCAGTACACAATATAAGAAAGCTTTTAATTTTATATGTTGAAAATGCATAATTGATTTCAATTTGCAGACGTTCTAGGAATGTTTATATTCACGTACTTAAATAAATTACGGTATTATTAAAGTAGTATTTAATGATCTAATACACAACCTTTAGAGAAATAATTTGGATGATTCAAGTTGACTATAGTAAAAAGAAAAAAAAAACAAGTATCGACGGCGTGATTTCAAGGAGGAGATAGGAAGAGAAAGATATTGACATGATGGCGGTGCCCTTGTTGCCGCGCGCGCTCTGCAGCAGGCGCGCGACGAGTGCGCGGCGCAGCTCGGCGGCGTCGACCGCGAGGAGGTCGGCGGCGGCCTGCAGGCTGGGAGACAGGAGGAGGAGACGAGAGAACACGGCGCGGTACTGACATGATGGCGGTGCCCTTGTTGCCGCGCGCGCTCTGCAGCAGGCGCGCGACGAGTGCGCGGCGCAGCTCGGCGGCGTCGACCGCGAGGAGGTCGGCGGCGGCCTGCAGGCTGGGAGACAGGAGGAGGAGACGAGAGAACACGGCGCGGTACTGACATGATGGCGGTGCCCTTGTTGCCGCGCGCGCTCTGCAGCAGGCGCGCGACGAGTGCGCGGCGCAGCTCGGCGGCGTCGACCGCGACCAGGAGGAGGAGACGAGAGCGCGTGACATGATGGCGGTGCCCTTGTTGCCGCGCGCGCTCTGCAGCAGGCGCGCGACGAGTGCGCGGCGCAGCTCGGCGGCGTCGACCGCGAGGAGGTCGGCGGCGGCCTGCAGGCTGGGCAGGCAGCGGTCGCGCGGCACGCAGCCGCCGCGGGACCCGTCGTCGTCCTCGAACTCCACGTTCCCGAGGTGCAGCACGCCCGCCACCACGCGGTACACGCCCGCCTTCTCCTCCTCCGACAGCCCCACGCGCGACAGCGCCTGCGCACGGGGGTCTCACTGATAATGGAACGATGCACCGGTCTGCGCTAACGGTTTACGCTGGATGGCCACCAGTAAAGGATCATAGGACGACCATGAGGTCCGGGCCAGGTAACCTATCGTAGTAAATTCACTCACACGTGGAGATCAACCTGGCATAGTACATTGTTAGCAATGGGGTTATTAGTCCGCATTACTAATAATTCCCTTCTCCCAAACGTATAGCGTTATCGCAGGCGAGTGTACCATTCCATTATCATGCATAAAAGAAAAACCCATTGCTAACAATGTAGTATGTCAAGTTGACGCAGCCCCACACGCGACAGCGCCTGTACTCGGAGGTAGTTAGTAATTATGGAACGGTGCACCCGTCTGCACTAACGATATACACAGAAGTACATGAGCTCAGATTAGTTGACCACAATTAATTTTGTGACATAAGTTGATTCACATTTAACAAAAAAAATTGTGAAAAAAAAATGTCATAATTACCCTTTTTAAGTTAGACAACACTCAAACACGCGAAGTGTTTAAGTGTTGTCTAACTTTTTTCACAATTTTTTTAACTTCCTCACAATTTTATTATTTCATTATACGTAAAGAAAATAATACAGATTATCCAACATTATTTATTTTTATATATTGGCGCTCGTTTAACTAATAGTAGCTCGTTACGTTGGTATTAAGTATAGGTATTATATATATGACTGGCTTTTGCCCGCGGCTTTGCTCGTGTTAATTTATCCCCTTAAGGGTGGAATTTATCAAAATCCTTTTTTAGAGGATGCCTACGTCATAGTAGCTTTATGCATGCAAAGTCTCAGCCCGATCGGTTTAAAATTGACAAAGTTTCATACAAACTTTCATCCCCTATTTTATCCCCTTGGGGCTAGAATTAATCAAAATGCTTTCTTAGCGGATGCCTACCTCATAACATCTACCAGCATGTCAAATTTCAGCCAGATCCGTCCAGTGGTTTGGGCTGTGCGTTGATAGATCATTATGTCAGTCACCTTTGAGTTATATATATATAGATTTATAAAAAAAATCGGGAAAAAAACAACCTCGAACAAGCACAAACTCTTACATACCTGATGTAATCTTTGGAAATCCTCAACGTCATCTAAAATGGGGTCCCGTAGCCCTCCCTTCGCCTGCTGCTGTTTGCTTTTCTGAGACGAGTTCAACTTTTTCTCCGACGCAGGTGTAGTGAAATATTGTGTGCATCCATTCTTCAAGTACTGTCAACGACCAACAGTTAAACTATACAACCATTTCATATATATAAACAACTATGTTGTTGTTTATCACGTTGAAGATCGCATTGAAAAATCTTATTCTCACATACGCACCGGCAATATTATTTAACCCCTAGATTTATTTCAATTAAAGTGTGCACGGGTGATCACCGGGGCCCAACGTGTAAATTTACTTTCGCTGCGGAGTGATCCACCGATGGGCATATCTTTAACGTGCTATAGGTATATAATTAATATAATAATAATTTGTATTAATATCCAATTCTAAACCATTAATAAACATTATTTTAATATATTAATAATATAGCATGACATTTTACTCCTCAGGAAGTCACAATTTATATTATAAAATCTATTTAAATAATATATATTGTTTACATATATGGTATATTTTCCAACAGCTGGTTGGTAGTTTGGTATTCGAGAATAAATAATATCATGTCCAGACACAACAACGACGTCAATCGTATTATTAAAGAATTTAAAACAATCAGATTTTGATTGGTACTTTAGAGAAGCAAATAAAAAAGGAATAATCAAACAATAAATGAGGTAACACATGAAAAAAATACAGTCTAATATAAAATCTCCATTTCTTGTAGTTAGTTAAAAAAATATACTATTTACTTACAGCATAATCATCGGGCTTGGTGAGCTTCAGCTGAGCTCTCAGCTCTGGCGGTGCTCCGGCGCAGAGCAAGTAGAACACGTGATAATTACGTTCTTCGGCACTCTGCGTGCATATTCTTGACTTTTCTAGAAGGTAGTGCGATATGTAGCCTCCTACCACTTGGTATTTGTTATTGAAGTGAACTTCCATAAACTTGCCGAAACGGGAGCTGTTGTTGTTTCGAGTTGTTTTTGCGTTACCAAACGCTTCTAATATTGGATTTGCTGAAAAAGAGATAAAGGAAATTAAGCAAAACATACTCAAATAAAATTTTAATTAACGATACCGACTACACCTCATCTTATATATAAAATTCTCGTGTCACAATGTTAGTTACCATACTCCTCTGAAACGGCTTGACAGATTTTTATGAAATTTTATATGCATATTCAGTAGGTCTGAGAATCGACTATTATCTATTTTTCATACCCGCAAGTGATAAGGGTATTTAACATTATTTTTTTATTTATTGGGCAAAATTTTTTAATTTATTTTTATTATTATTTTATTTAATTTTCACCCTTCTATCACCAACCCCTATTTTTTTATAGCGTTATTAATTTATATGGCAAAACAACGTTTGCCGGGACAGCTAGTATAGATATAATTTGAAGAGCACAAATAAAAGAAAAAGGAGTATATCTTAAGGTACACTTTGTATTTTCTTATTTCAAAAGAAAAATCATTTTTTTTTGTATATATGCCACTAAATTATAAAATGAAACACAATTAAGTATTTTTGTGTACTAGTGTTACGTTATAAGATTATTTCTTAGTAAAATTGAAGTCTAGTGACCGCTACTGTTTCGTGAACGTTTAGATCACGATTTACGCCCCAGTTACCACAGATACAAATGTTCGACGGACCTCTTACTTTTTAATTTTATAGAAGTACACAATTTAAATTTATACCTTACATAAAAGTTGCTCGCTTGAGGCAGCTTTCTGAGTAAGCGGTAGATTGAAAAAAAATGTAATGACTATTCGTAAGAGCTTCAATGTAATTACATTTATTATATTTAAATAAATATTTTTCTATTCTATTGACTAAAATATACGTATAATTAGTAAATCACGGGATCTTACCACTTTTTTTATATAAATAATGACCGCGTTAAATTGTAAAACAGTATATAATCATATATAACTAAAACTATAAATATATATATCAGTAAGTAGGTATGTTAATTACAGTCTACATTGTTGTGTTTACAATAATATAATGATGGACGGTCTGGCATGTGAATTAATATTAATGAATTCAAATTAGTGCCTACAAATTAGGTTAGATTGCATAAGTTGTATATTCGTTCACATAATGGTTATATTATCGAATATTAAGTATACTAAAATCATACAACCAATATATAATTTGCAAATCCGGTACAAGGATATACATCAAGCTGTATGCATACGACTATGTATGTATGTTTATATATGTATATATTTTTTTGATTTATATTTTACGTAGATGACAAATTTTAGGATTAAATATTGAAATATATTGATATATATAGTAACTTGATCTAACTGCGGGAAGGGAATTGTCAGTACTGTAAAGTAACGTCAGATGGACCTCCATGCGGTTCCCATAGCGGTGGAAATTGGGATAAAATTCTTAGTGAAATTGTCACGATAGGCTGACTGACATATTTTCATATTTACTGTTCATATTTACGTTAAAAGACAAACTTGATCCAACTCAAAGTCAACGATGGCATGCATGGAATCAATATCTAGCGTTATGCTGAATTGTGACATAATTTGATTTTTATTAACATCTCTATTTTTTATAATTCTAGATTTTATTAGGTAAATAAACCGTGTGATAATAACTGTGTTAATATTTTCATACACACATATATATAAATTTATGTATAAGAATTTCAGGTATCCATAGACTATGGTTTACAGATGGGCTGTACGCAGGATTTCCCGCCATTTTGTTATAAAAAAAAGAAGTAGGTGCCACAATAGTAATCAGTATTAGTTCATTTTGCACTTACCATCTAAAATCTTTTGTTCCACGGGCCCTGCTCCCTTCGCCCACAGATCGCAGAGGTACTTCAATATGTACTTAGTGGACTCAGTCTTGCCGGCACCGGATTCACCCGACACTATTATTGACTGCGATTGCTTCAGTGACTTCATGTCGCGGAACGCTTTGTCGGCTGAAAACATGATACAGTAATAAATTCAAGTATAACGTATACAAATAAGTAATAATAATCTTTATTCATAAATATACAGTTTGCCCTGGCTTTCGATATAGGTGAACATGTGCCATGAAAGCCAAAATGAAATGAAAGTGTCTGTTTGTAATTTCAAATTCACACCTATTCACTAGATTCATATGAAGGTGTATACTAGGTACTTACATCAAAAAATTAATTAAAAATAAATTAATTAGCAAGAACAAACAGATAGACAAAGAACAATTATTATCTATCTTTCTGTCTATTCGTTCTTGTTAATCTCTGAAACGGCTGAACCAATTTTGTCGGGACTTTCACTTGCAGATAGTTATAAGGAGTAACTTAGGCTTTGTAAACGAAAGTCAGCCTTATAACAAACAGACTGATTTTAGTTTACTTTGGGAGTAATGAAAAGACTATGTCTTTCTATGCTTGTATTGTGACGACTAATTTGAAATATACTTAAGATAACCGGCCGGTACTCAAGGCCGGTTATCTTAAGTATATTTCAAATTATAATTATCCCATAATAAACTAACCTGGCTTTTTAGAGTAATTTAGGAGATATTTTCAAAATCAGTAACTAATATATTTATCCATGTAGATCTATTACAGACTCTTATGATATGTCAAATCTACTGTCAGTTCGGAATGATTTCGAGATGAGAAGAACTGACTAGAAACTCACCTCGTATTCTTTACAAATACGGTTGTACATGTTTACAATAATACAGATTCATTTTTAAATCAAATTTGGGAGAATAGAGTGACCACCAGCATACACAATTTGTCAAAAGCAAATAGTCTAATCAGTGTTCGTAACCCGAACTTTTATATATTAGATTACGAAACGCAGACGATGTTTACACTCTTTTTGCAATATTTTTCATGCAGCTCCGCTCATATTGATCGTAGCGTAATATTATATAGCTTAAAGCCTTCCTCGACAAATGGACTATCCAACACAAAGAGAACTTTTCAATTAGAACCGGTAGTTCCTGAGATTAGCGTGTTCAAACTAAGAAACAAACTCTTCAGCTTTATAATATTAGTAAAGATTTAAATAAGTTAAATAAAAGCTTATAAAAATCACTAGACCAAGTCTAAGAGCGACGTCTGCGATTGATAATAATGATTGATATTCCGACTTCAAGGATATAGAGACGGCATTGGCGACCACTCGCTCGTGAAATCAGAGTTAAAAGTTGCTTAAATACCGTTACGATTTAGTCGCCGAGCCCCATTCGTCTCAGTACAATGACGGTCGTGAGTTCGTGACCAAAATATTTCTAATTATGTATATTAATATTTCTAATAGTAGGCACTGATGCTAATAATAATATCCCAGGACAATACACACAACGCCATCTAGTCCCAAGGTAAGCAAAGCTTGTGTTATGGTTACTAGACAACTAATATAAATACTTACACCATGTACTTTGTACCATGCGTGAATTCGAACTCACGCCGCTTTATTTCTGATGATCATGGATTCGATTTCTCGCACGGTACAATAATTTGCATTCATGAATACGATTGCATCCGTCTGGGCGTTTTCTATATATATCATGTATTTAGAAAAAATATCTCATTCAGTTGTCTAGTATAACATAAACTCTGTTCTGCTTGGGACTAGATGGCGCTGTGTGAATTGTATAAAATATATAATGATTTTAGTTTACTACGAGTGGCATATTTAGTAAGCAATATTTCCACGTATTTTTACGGACATTAGTATTTATGTAAGTGGCAATAGCATCTGTTCATGCAATTATGCAAGTTGCATGTGTGATTTGTCCAGATATATTATTATCAAATATACTAATGTTTACTAAATAGATTATCTAAATAAAGTAATATTAAACAAGGAATATAACGTACCTATAGCAAACACATGGGGTGGCAGCTCACCCAGGGAGCGACCCTGGTAATTCTTGATGGTACTCGACGAGTACAAGTCGCGTATATCTTCATAAGGGTTCACGGCAAGCAGAATATTTGCTACGTATGTCTAGAAACAGATATTGTCATTGGTACATTTATGTTGTCTTACAGAGAACATAAATTTACACAGATAAAATAAACTATTTAAGTAATACACACTACTAGATGTACTAATATTTATAATACGGAAATTCGTTAGGATGGATGGATTTTCGTGAACTTACAAGAAACTTTAATAATGTTCAAACACAAAAAACTATCAATCGAGAATAAAATCTGGTACAGTTCTATTAACATATCACTGGCAGCATCGTGTCGTACAGCTAATTAGTACTAAAACTGTATTACATTCAAATACATATTATACAAATAAAAGAAATTTCATACAGGCAATAAAATCATAATCATTTATTTGTTATATAGTAATAATAATACAATGTAACAAACAGGTTTTACAATGTTCAATATTATGTCCTTGTTTGCCACCCACGTAGTTTAAAAAAAAGTCATATGTATTTAGCCAGTATATAAGTTAGAAAATAATTACTTATGTACTGGCCATAAACGAAAGATATAGAGGGAGATAATACCAAATTTAGATGATCTATAATATGGAAATATAAAATTTCTTTCTCCTACACGATTCTATGTGGTTTTTTAAGTTATCTATTCCGCGGAACTACAAAAGGTTTCTTATCACAATCGTGCATTGATGCAGCAAGGAAACTTGAGCAGTAATCAATACAGATCGATACATAACACCTACATAATTGTACCTACGCTAACACAGTTGCGATGACAAATTACGTTCAAGGCAAGAATATACCTATCTACTATTTACGTAGGTACTACATACAAGGTGGCTATATGATTCATAGACAACTTACACTTCAAATTTTATGCTAATAAGTTGAAGTAGAGTCTATTTAATTCTGTTGTACTGACAAATTAATACAAGAATTCGTTACCAGTTAATAGTGTGTAACTTTGTGATTCCGAAACTCAATATTTCATACCTTTCATGCCTCACTTGCAAGTTCACTAAATAGCCTTCCATCACAGTTAAACCAAAAATTACTTACGTAGATTTTATTTTTTGAATACCGCGTCAATATGTTGTTGAGTAGTGTCGCCTCATTCAGGAACATTAGTTCACCTGAAAACAAAATTTAGTTTTTTATTTATTTGTTTTATTGTTATTTTCACATCCTTTAATTAATAAATAATATATAATTAGTGCCTAAATATAAATACAGGAATGTTCTTTCATGTACTCATTGATTTCGCCCGCCCTGTAAGTTAATTGTGGACATAGTTCTGTTACAATGGGGTGAAGGGTATGCATGCCAGCGGGTAAAATATAAACGAAGAAGTAATATATTCTGAAGAACTATTATTCGGAATTATTGAAATCAAATGAAATTGTTTATTGCAATGAATGTGGTAATTACATATGGAGATGTACTTGATGGTTGGCCTGACATTCATTCTATTGGTACATTAAATTAGCTGGAATATAACCTATATGTGTATACTGAAAAGTTGGACAGATTGTTAACTTGTTTTTAAGGTTTATGTAATACATAATACATCACATGTATATGATTGTGAATGTCTGTAGTGCTGACGTAATTGTTACACTAGAGACAATAGCAAAACGATTAACTGGTCGTACAATATAAGTTAGCTAGCCATCACCTCTACTTAGTTCGTGCTAAGCCTACATATACTAAGCTAGCTACACCAGTGTATATAGTGTTTATGATAGAAGGTCGTAACTACATATATTATATATATCTGCGTAAAGTAATATATTATTTTCTTTCTAAGACATTTTGTACAAAGTTATCTCCATAGATACTTCTGTATCACTAATTGCTACAGACCACCGTTATACTTTTAAGTGTTGTTGCCATCAAGACAGCTTGTTTTGACAGTACAACATTAAAAAATCTATAATTATGTTACATGATTTTTTTGTTATTACTGTTATGTTACTTTTACTTAATCTAATCAGAAAATCTGTAGCCTATAAACAGTTTCCAGAGAGTAAAAATATTTGATTAGCATAAAAATTTGTTGTATGCTCTTTTAATTTAATGCATTTATTCTTAAATAAAATTACAAACGAAAAAATTAATACAGAAACTTATATAAAACTGAAGAAACATGAACGTAATAATATTTCAAAACACACTGAGTAACGCATTATAAAACACAGAAATATTCTATAGCTATGCCATTATAGAGATACCACAGATTAAAAATGAGTGACACAAATTTTAATAAACAATAGCCAATAGTAACATAAACATATATCAAATTTAACACTTACAGTTATCATTGACATCCTTATTGGGCTCTCCAGCCGGGAAGATATCCTCGAAGCTGCAGACTCGCCTCTGGTGCTTGTTGTCTATGGGTATGATGTCTGCCTCCTCGCCCATCAGCTCGTGCAGGCGCGCCAGCACGAACCCTTCGTTGGGGTCTCGGACCCATACCAGCTGTTTGTCTATCGTCATCCTTCACTGTAACAAACAGAACATAAGTTAGTAGAGTTAAATAATATCTTGAACTAGATTACCTGTGATTTTGTCCGCGTGAAGTTAAGAGAAGTATATATTTTTTTTAAAATAAAAACAGCCGTTATGTCAGTAAATGGGTAAATTTCTACAAAAAGTAAAGTAGAAAATTTAAAAGCAATTTTACAATCTCGCAACCTTTAGTTTTTTTTGTAATTAATAATAAGTTTTAATATAAAAATAAGATTTCTAAAAAAAGCATAATCCCGACTAAATCGGTCCAGAATCCAGGTCTTTTCAAGATTAGCAAGAAGAATCAGACAGACAACAATCCTATATTTAAATTATTTTTATGTAAGTAGCGTATATACTTTCATATGTATTTAGCGTAAAACTGTTAATTTGAAATTACATACACTGCTTTGTATAAATTTAGAATAATCTAATATGATGACTCCAGTGACATTGGATTGTTTTGATTTGTCTTGAACCGATACACATCTTTACTTTTGTTATTTTTGACGTCGTGTTATATTGTTAACCGTCAGGAGAGGTAAATACCGTTATTTCCCATAAAATTATTCGCGTTAAGACCCGGTTAACAATGTAAATAACTATACACATCCTAAGTAAAGCTACCTGGCGTACCCTATCATTTCTCTGTGTTCTCTCAATAAGACAGAGAAATTACAGGATGTGTCTTATCTCAATAAGATGAGAAATTACAGTGTACAGAGGCATGACTTTTTAGTTCTCGGGTATTGTCATAACGCTTAAGGGAAAAATTTACAAGACCATGATCCGGCCTGCTGTCTTGTATGGATCAGAGTGCTGGCCCGTAAAGCCGACGGATAAATGACGACTGCATGCAACTGAAATGCGAATATTGAGGTGGATGTGTGGTGTAACAAGAATGGATAAGATAAAGAATGAATACATTAGAGGAAGTATGAAAGTGGTGCCGGTGTCAGAGAGGTTGAAGAGTAATCGTCTATCATGGTATGGACATGTAATGCGTAGGAATGAGGATAATATTTTAAGAAAGCTGTTACTACTTATATCTGATGGTTATACAAATTGTTTGCTATTTCAATAAATAAGATAAATTGTGAAAATTATACAACAATGTAGATAACCGCATTCGTTCATTGTGGTTTACAAGTTTATTGTGGTCATTTAGATAGACATACCGACGCCACTACATTTTGTACAGAATAAGTAGTATGACGATGTCTGATCTTGCATGTATGAATGTGGATGGTATGTACGAATGTACGTACTTCAAGGATAACTATAGCACCGAGTGTAGTCAGTTATGATAAGGAAGAAGTAAGGACAAGGCTTTTTCTTTTAAGTTTTCAGTAATTTCCATACATGAAATAGCGCTACATAAGCTGTAATCTACATTAGTACAGTATTGTGATCTTATTATTGTAGCACAAATATACAATTCTAGACAGCATTATTACTGTCCTTTATTATTATGAGTAAATTTTACGGAAAGCAGGAACAATTCGTAATAATAATGAAAACTAATTGTCTAGACTCATGAAAATTCTGTATGCATGTAATATAAAAATCCAATATTCTTGCTAACCGGAAATATCATAAATCATGTCATTTCCACACAACAGAGCACCAATCTTTGTTAGAACTTACAAATGTATTACCAACAAAAATTACAAGTCATGCATAATTCATACAACATCCATAAAATTAATCATCAATCAGATATTCGATAACTAAGATGATATTACGAATACAGAGAGAATAGGAAGAGCGAGCGCATAAAATCAGCAACAGTAATAACAGGTTACATAATTCACGATTAAACAATATTTAGATAATTATCGTAACACTGAAAATGTAAATGGGTAATATAATTAACTTACTTTCGTGTTGGCTGCCCATATAATACACTTTCGTTGGACATTGCGTAATAGGCTGAATTTATAAAAACTACTCATATACGGTTCGTTCCGGTACACGCGGCCGGAAGCAACTACAGTGAACATACACTATGCTTATTACAACGGCATAAAGCTCAATTAATAAAAAAAATATTGTGTCAGTCACAATGCATACATACTAATGTACAACGTGACACGGATTTTTTTAAATATTGTGTTAGAGACCGAAAACAAAATATATGGCAGACTGAGTGTCGATCGATGTCTTCTAATGGAAGATGATGGTATAATTTAATTGTAACCCAAGACAATTCACACAGCGCCATCTAGTCCCTAAGCTAAGCCGAGCTTGTGTTATGGGTATCAGATCCCTGATATTAATACTTAGATATTTTTTTTAAATACATACATAATATACGTAGAAAATACTGAGACCGATACAAACAATCATACTCATGAATAAAAATGTTATTACCCTGCGAGGAATCGAAACCGCGACCGTCGGAAAAAAGCCATCAATGGAATGGTGTTCCTATATAGCCGTATGCCGTGTGTACACGTATAATCATCTTCCGATGATGATATGAGAAAGAAGTCAGTAATATTAGTTAGAACGCAGTAATGAACTAGGAGGTACGAGTTACATAGGGCTACTAGTACCCATTAATAACAATTATAAACCTCGATTTGACAGATATAAGTACAATCACTGCCTTAAAATTTAAATGACTCAACATTCAAACTAGTGCTGTTAGGCGTAGAACTTTGCAGCTTAAGAAAATAGGGGCGAGTGCAGAAGACACTCTCTCGAAGTCGCGGAAGTACTTATGGAGCAGAAAACCTCATGAAAACCAACTTCCGCCTAATGAATAAATATCTGTGGTCGATAACATTTGATAAAATATTTCTACTAAACTATTTTTAAATTTTTACTGGCCTTTACAGTCACTTCATTACTTATATATTCTTCATTACTTATCATATATATGTTTATTATAGTAATAATATATAAATATATAAAAAAAATAGTTTACATGATGACAAATATATATATAATGAGTTCCGTTATTGTAATCAGTTGAAACTTGTAGCTACATAGTACAGTAAGAAAGCTTGTAATTGTTTTCAGTCAAGAATTTACGAGAGCACTTAAAACAAGTAGGCAACATCGTAAGTTGAATTATATAAAATAACAAATAGAAAACGCGGCTGTTGTAACTCCCATAACGGGTGAAAGTTGAAAATATCCATAAAAAGCACTTATCAAGTGTCGCAATAGATAATTTATCCGACAAAACTATTGTCACGTAGCGTAACGTCGTTTTTACAGCACCACCAGTTTTTACTGTCGTAACTGTCCGGTAAGTTCAGTTTTATCTATTACGCATGCGAATACAAACTTTAATGGTTGAAGAAGAGACTTTATTAGCCATTAGTTATTACATAGATGCAGCGAGAACTGACCTTTATATACAATTACAGAAGTGAGAGATTTAAGTAATAGTTTAAGCAAAAACATGATTACGTTTATGTAAGCATGTAGTTTTCGATGACATGGTATTTTTGTAAAATTAGTACTGGTACATCTTTTGCAGATTTTCATTAATATTTACATTAACTTTTGGTCTAAAAACGAAACGATATGATTCGTGTGTAAACTAAGAGACAGTGCTTATATGACGTCCAAAAACTAAGTTACGTAAATTACATATGAAATTTTTTAACAAAACACAAATCTTATTTAATTAAATACTAAATTAGTATAAATACATAATTCACAGTTTTAAAGATGTAGACATGCATAAAACTACATAGTATCTTATTATTTTCATACAAACTTGTCATTTCATGGTTTGTAATGTATTGTCAATTATTGTAGTGTAAGATGATATTGATTAATAAAAAAAAGTGTCTGTTTTATATACATATCAAATTATAGACAAAAAATATATATGTACGCTACAAAATGTGTCATCAATAAAAAGAAAAAAGTAAATATTATATTGTTGATAAATAACGGAAAAAGATTTCCAAGACCAACATTTAAATTATTCAGAAAGCGCAATCGTATGAATAAGCACAATACTACTGGCGTAAATAAACGGACAGTAGATTATTCGAGCCAACGAGAGGAAACAAGGAAAGCGAATGAAAGCGTAATTTTGACGAAATTACCATGAACGCCTAAATAATGTAACCTACTTACCCGTCTGTCATCTTGAATAGGTAATCCATACAAATAGGAGGACGGCGGACAATCTAGCGAAATTATGGCACCACTGACACAATGGTCAACTTACGTCAATTGTAAATAACTACTATTCTCATAGTTGAATCATGTGTGAAATAATAAACTTCGTTTCTAACTAGTTATTTTTTTTTATGAATGATAATGGAAAATTGCAGCCCCCTCTACTAACGATTCAAGACCAAGGGCAGGTATAACAATTATGAACTAGGTGTGGTATAGATTACGGAATAGATTTTTTTGGTTGTAAACCGAATTGCAATAGGACGAGTTTATAGAAGCTTGTTATTTATACTTAAAGAAAGAAATATACGAGAGTCCTTTGATCGATTGAATTTGAACAAATGTATAATTTTAGGGCTGTATGATGTATAGATATATACACCATTGCAATTTTCAACAGCGCCTGATAGCCATTAATTCAGTTCACGTCGTGCCCTATAAAAAGGTTATGAACCTGTTGTTCTCTTAGAGACTATGCCCGGATAAGACTGACAAATCTATTGTTTTAAATCTCTATTAGATTGTAATGTATTCGATTGATTTGAACTGTGATCGTGTGTTTACTTAAATTTTTGCATTTTTTTACAAAACACGTTTCGATAATTTTTCTGCCATTAATACCTACAGATTATTATCGTTTAGTACCTCCTATTATACATATTCTGATCGGATTGGTAGCTACTTTGTTTTTCTTATTAAACATATATTTATTAATTGTCTATGTACTTTTACAGCATTCTTTCAGGAAGAGAGTACTATTTCTAATCGAGTATTTGGGTACAAACTATGACGATTTAAAACCTCTTGTAAACAAGTCTATTTGAATTATGATAATTCCATTCTAT